CTCCGCTGCTAGTGGACCGATTTTGATAATTCTTTTTTTATCCGAAAGGTAATGCTTGCAGGTGGGTCCCATTTTTTTGTTTCATTTTTACGTTTGCAAGTCATCATCATCCACCTGCCCTTATCCCTTACGGAGGGTCGGCACAGTATGTGCTGCTCTTCCATACATCTCTATCAGCCGTCATATCTGAAACCACTCCTTTCTTAAGCATATCCTCTTTCACACCATCCATCCATACTTTCTTCGGTCTTCCTCTCCCTTTATAGCCATCCCCATTCTGGTTTATGTCCCTATCGTTTCGTCGCATAACATGTTTGTTTGCATGAAATAGCCCATTTCTAAAGAAAATACAATTGAAAATACTATTGTATAATATAAGTTTAAATAATAAAAGTTATTTGAAATAGTTACAGCTATAGATTACAACTAGCTTTCGCCCGCGACTCCGTCTGCGAGGAATTAAAAAAAAAAGAAAGTAGCCTATGTGTTCTTCCAAACTATCTTTTACATCTATGCCAAATTTCATCGAGATTCGTTAATCTGTTTAGGCTACAAATTCTAACAAACATCCATCCATCCATCTAAATTTTCGCATTTATCAAATTAGCAATAGCAAATGTCAAAATGGCATGACATGACAAGCCTTAGCAATCCTCCTTTCTTGATGTTGGCAGCAACTTATGGTCTATTTCATATATTAGGGGTTTTATCCAAAATATTTAGGCCCTAAGTTTAATGGCGTGAAAATATATAGCCTAAAGCCTGACGTAAGTGTAGGGCTTTTCAATTAAGAAAGAATTATGCAAAAATATGCTGTAATTGCTGACATCTTAGGCAACAAAGAAGTGTGTGTTTACGCTTTATTATAATAGTATAGATATAGATAGTATAGATTAACATAGTATATTGCAAATTATATCTCCGTGGTCGTCGCATTGTACTGGTTATTGACCATACAGTAAACAAAACAAAAAAACATCAATCGATACATCGATGGTTATTGTAAAAACAAATGACAATCGACTATAGTTCTAATCTTACTAATATTATAAATGCGATAGTTTGAATGATTGGATGTTAAGAGTTTGTAGATTAAAGTTTTGAACGATTTTCATGAAATTTACCTATGAACTTAGTTTGTAAGAACACATAGGCTACTACTTAAGTTTTTTTTTTAATTTCGCTCGTACAGAAGTCGCGGGTGAAAGCTAGTTCTAACCTGTTAGACGTCTATGTACGTAGACATAAAAAATCTCAGTAAACAAGAGCACTTAATACTGCTGGAATAAACAAGTAAACGCGACTGGAGAGCGTTGTTCTTTTGTGTTGAGGTTGCATTATGTTGAGGTACTCGCGAAAACGTTTGTTTCAAAAATACTTACTTTAAAGAACCTGAAAAATGTTGCATTATGGACATTAAAAATGCATGCACAATGTTGAATTTAAGTTTGTCAGGAATTTACTTAAAATTAAGCAAGTAAATTACAAATTCTGGAATGTCCGTAGAGACGTGGAGTGAATTTTTTAGAAAGTTGAACAGAGTTTTCATTATTATAATAGAAAACTGTTACATTATCTAAATTAAAAAGTCATGCGCTTCTGTCGATATTATTCCATCAATTAATATAAATTAACAAGCACAATTATTAATTACTTATTAATCACATAAAATTAAAACAGATTTAAAAATAAAAAGAAAAAATATTACCATTGACTTTCTGCCAATTTAGATTTTCCCGTAAAATATCCCGTTTGAGTTATGGTACACAGAGGCCTTTTAAAATATCTACATATATCTTTTACTGTTATACATTTTTTCTATAACTATTATACTTGTATTGTTGCTACATTGTGGTAGCCGGTCAAAACTGTCGACTTATTACATCACACTAAACCTCTTTGCGTTTTGCGAGAACAAAGGAAAAGGAATAAAAAAAATTAAATACAAAAAATTGGAATTATAAAATATTATAATACTATCATTTACCCCTTCATATTTTAATTTATTTCGTTATTTTATATTATTTTTTTTCATTTATTTGATTGTAAAGTATTTTAGAATGTTGTACAGTAAAATACTCTTCACTTTATGGTACATTTGTTTAAAGAAAATAGTTAAAATTCATTATTTAAAATACTCTGGAACCAAAAGATTGTTGTCAACTACTATTTATTTTATTAATGATATAGTTTAATATTAACTCTGCTATGCTGTTATTTATCTTGTTTCTTAAAAAAACATCACCGATTTATTAACGTCCATAATTTTGAATAAAGATATGTTGTATATTTTTGCATTAATTCTAAGAAAACAACTAACTCTTTTCTATAATGTTAGAAAACGTTTTTAACTTACCTTAACAAATTCCAGACAATCGCTTCAACACCGACAGTGTAATTGACACAAAACATCTCTAATCGCGATAAATTTTCACATAAATAAAGCCAAAAATTCCGCAAAACGCTACAACATTATCACTCACACCAATGTTCTAAATTCGAATTTAATTTTGTACGATTGCATTTTGTTTTGAATGTTCGTTATTTAAGTCAGTTTCAAGGTCATATTTTTATTTGATATTTGCGATACGCCGACACGCGACTGCTACGCCGCCCGGGATCTCTCCGGCTACAGCGGCTGGCTCCCTCCGCGCCGCTCTCTCCGCCCGCACTTCCCTGCCACCCCCGCTTGCGTAACCATTGTTATAAATTGAATAATACCTTAACACTATTACATACGATCAATTTAGTATTTTTCCGTAGACATTTAATTTCTATAATATAAATACTTGACTTCTTATTTTTTTTAATTTCATCTCTAAATAACAATTTCAATTAACTTGGAATAAGTTAATGTAACAGTTTTAATAGTACTTCTAATAACATTGTTTTAAAAACAATATTAATGTGTTAACGTTTTGTACAAAATATTTCGGATTCCCGCAGCATATGAAGCTTCGACCGGCCTACATCTTTCGGGAAAGCCAGCGCGCATGCGTCACGGAAAATTAGAAAGAGTCAGTATCAAAATGTGCACAGGTTTGAAAGAGATAGTTGTATAGTCAAAAGTAAGTGCATATAATCAACTCCATCTGTTATCTGGGCACGTTTGAATTTTAAAAAGATGACTTTTGAACATAATGTTTTTACAATTTCACGTATTATACAATGTAATCATAAAACCGTATTATTCATGATTATAATTCTATTATTTTACATAGTTACTACAATTATTATAGAAATAAAAACCTCTTTAATAACGATCTATACTAATATTATAAAGAGGAAAGATTTGTATTTTTGTATGTATTGAAATAACTCAAAAACTACTGGGCCGAATTTAAAAATTCTTTCACCGTTAGAAAGGTAATTTATCTGTAAGTAATATAGGCTATATTTTTTTAATTTCACACGGGCGAAGTCGCGAGCAACAGCTAGTTTTAAATAGTTGTAAAATATTGTTTTTCCGCAAATTCCTAATGCATAGTTAATATATGTATATAAGAAAAAATTATATTGTATATATGATACATATATCATCGTATGTTGTAGGTCAATTAATTACTAATTAACAGGCTCTCACGCTCCGACGCTTTTAATTATACTAACTTTTCACGTAGCGCTGCTACGAATACTGTAGCAACAAAACGAATGCTTCGTAGCGGTATATCTAGGGAGATGAATGTTCACTCGTATAGAATGAGAGTAATTTCAAAAGATTTAAAAAATACAATTACAAGAGCCAATATCCGTAATATTAGTTGTAATTGTTAAAAATTGTGATAACAAAGTTTGTTGTTTATTTGTAAAGAAATTTGATTTGTTATTCTAGAAGGAAGAACGAACGAAGGTCAAACTGCATCGTTCTGTCGATGTTTATGTCCGCTAATATTCATAAGAGTTATTTTAAGTGGGATTTATGTCTTCCGTCAGTAATGTATTGTAAGAATTCAAAGAGTCGACTTAAACGCCGGTCTTCCCGACAGATTGTCGCGTCATGTTACCCCTACCATTTGCGTTATTTAGTTCTAGGAAATCACTTTTCATTTTCGTTTTATGTTTTCATTTATTGATATATGTAGAACTGGAGACTAATATTATTCGTACTTCTTTCTGATAGGAATAATTCTAAAGGAAATAGCAATGTATTATGTTCTTATAAATGCGTAGTAAGAACATAATTTCATGTGCACTTCTGTGTTTGAATTTTTCATACTAAAAATCAAAATTCATGAACTTTACGTTAGACATAATTTGCAATACTTTCTATATTAGCCTCAAATGTAGTTTTTCATTGAATTTCCACACTTCTTTATATACTATAGCGTGGACTTTAGTTTAATCAGATTAAGACTTTTACCTTGATTTGGTATATGTACATAACATAATTATAACAATAGTAGTGGTCAATACAAGCTGCCGTCAATATTGTGTTCCCGCAAACAACCGGACGTGACGAGATGCATACTATACAATCTTTCTAAACCAGTTTTAACGACTTTTGCGTATATAAAATAATAAAAATCGAATCACAGAAGTTCTCTTACACATAAGTAATCTTTTAAATAAATTATTTCATGATCAGGTGAAAGATTTCCATTGCATTTCTTGATAGGAAGAAAATAGTTAATCAAAATTATTTTACTACACATCACTGAAAACACTACACAATTCACGTCTTAAAGCTTTGTTAAAAAGCTACGAGTAAATATTGAAAAAAAGCAACGACACGTACAAAACTGACGATATAAAATACAAAATTGTTAACAATATACGAATCTTTATCGTTCATATTTGTAGGGAATTCTTTGAATGTCTTTTATTTGTCTCGATCGAGCCTTCATTGCCGCCATCATGTGAACACCCTGTAAGGCAATAATCAGCGAACGCTGCGCCGTAGAACGTCGTAGATACTTCCGTAGCACTTTTTTTTTCATTATTCACGCTTTTCCCGCAATCTAATAAACTCAATTGTATGATATAGAGAAATACGGTTACTGAAATGGCGTGTCGTGTAGTGTATTATTTTTTGTATATTCAGTTAATCTTACTAATAAAAATGCGAAAGGTTAGATGGATGGATGAAAGTATGTTTGTTAGAGTTTGTAGCCTAAATGGCTCAACGGATTTCAATTAAATTTGGTATAGATGTAGACGATAGTCTGAAAATTACATAGGCTACTCACTTTTGTTTTATTTAATTCTAAAGACGGAGTCGCAGGCGAAAGCTAGTCCAATATAATTTTTAGTCTGTCATTAGATAAATAGTTAAAATTAATTTTAAAACTAATAATTGCGAGATAAGGTTAGAAGATCAATTTTGTTCCTTGTCTTAGACTTTTTAGTAGATTTAAAAGCTTTTTTTAAATCTCTCCCTACCGAACCTTTCTCAGTTATCATTCAAATCATAAAACTAAATAAAAGTATGTAAATAAGATCGTAGAAAAGTTTTATAAAGTATTACAATATATTTAAATTCAACGAACGTCCAGTGCGTCCGGATAGAAGTTGCAATGTCGGCTGAAGCCAAGTTTTATTCAACCTGTCACTTAAGTTACATTCAAGTAACCAGAGAATGACCTTACAACTTCGAAGTTGCTCTAACTTTAGTTTAAATCGAATCCAAATCACGTAATATGTAATAGTTTTACAGTTTCATGTCTAGACAACGTTACATAAGTACTATGTTCAAGTTGTCTCCAGTAATATTAAAAAAAAGTAACATTACACATTGTAAGATTATCTTTTAGGAAACCTCTCTTTTTTTAGGTAGATCAACAGGTTTATATAATTCAATAGTTTAAAATATTTGGACCGCTTGTACACCCACGAACATCTCCATAAGCAGAGTTTTGTTGCCAGTTTCTCCCAAATTAGAATAAAACCACAAACACTCGACACTGGCCCAATCCGCTGTGGGAGAGCCATAAACAAGAAATAGAATAGAAGAGAATAGAATAGAAAACCTCTCGATAGTGATGATTTAATTTTCTTTTAATTTCCTTAAGGCTTTAGTAGTATAATATTGGTTAGACGAAGAGGTACATAGATTGGCTATATTAAGCGGTGTTAGGTCGACCTTCTGTTTGAATACCTGACCACTAGAAGCATTTATAATAGCGTTCCTCTTTGGAGCTGAGCTACGTGGGTTGCTTTAGTAAATTTATTTAACATGCTACAGATATTTAGTACCTAATTTGTTAGAGAAAACGTATAACATCTAACAGCAATATTAGATTATCTTAAACTAGGATAAATTCTTACTAATATTATACGCGAATGTTTAGATAGCTATTTGTTAGTTTGTAGCCTAAAGTACTGTAGGGATCTAGATAAAATTAGGCATAGATGTAGAGTATAGTCTGGAAGAACACATAGACTACTTTTGTTTTTATCAATACAACGCAGACGGAGTCGCGGGCGAAAGCAAGTAAACAGTGTTACAAAGTATATTGTCAAGTGTTACGTATAGATTGTAATTGGATAAATACGTGTCCCACATAGCGACACGTTGATAAGGCGCGAAGTGTCAGAGCAATTTGCTAATATCGCGGCAGGCGGTGCCAAGGTTGGCAGGACGCGGGCTCCTCAATCATCGCCCGGCTTACATACATCACTGATGCAGAAGCGTATACCTATTTTTACATCTATAGATGTTAATGGTACATACATTGTTATACTCTTTAATAACGATATTTTAAAGATCTATGTATGATAGAGAAACTCTATGATCATGGAAGTAAGCAATTTTTATTTATCTTTTAAGTTTACGGTTACAGTAGTTTTACTATTTTTAAGATCACCTATACCTTTATCTAAACTCTCGCACAACTGTTTAGTCTCTGATTTCTATGAGCTTATATGAAGGAGGGTACACTCGATTTTTAGTTGTGCAACTAAACAGTCGAATTGGCTGCAAACAATCGACAATCGCACCGCATCAAAGATCTGCGCCCGTTAGTAGTAAATGTTACTGAAAATTTACTAACGTTTTTTTCCATATTGGTGATGGGTTTATGTATTAAAATAAACGACAAAAATATTATAACTTTTATTTCTTGATCTATAAAAATAATCAACACAAAAGAAATTAAACCTAAGAAAAAGACAATTGAACAATTTATTAATAATTACATTTTTTAAGAATAGTAAATTTCTAGATTAAATCAGTGTTATTAAACTTAAAAAAAAATTAAATAGACATTAAATAAAGTACATAAAAAAATTAACTTACATAAAAGTTTTAACAATACTTCAAAAATAAAGATTCTATCAATAATTTTGACAATCTTACTATCTCACTAATATTATAAATGCGAAAGTTTACATGGATGGATGGATTTTTGTTAGAGTTTGCCACCTAAACTGCTGAATAGATCTCTTTTTTGAATTGAAGGCTACAAACTTACGTTTTATTTATTCCAATCGGACGGAATAGCGGGCGAAAGCTAGCGTCACATAAAATACTAGTCAACAGAGATTCTGCTCACTCTATAAGAGTCACCGACAACATTTTCAGTGCTATATCTTTGTAAGAAATGACTCCTAACATCGAGGCCAGTCTCTCCGCTGGTGCCGTTCATAGCGGTCACCACATCATTAGTCTTCTTGCCTGATTTAGGACCTAGAGTTAGGTTATATCTCGTTATCTCTAAACCTACATGTCTAGAACTGAATGTTCTACCGAGGGATTTAGTTCTTTTGACAGAGAATTTGTCTTTTGGTATTTTGATATCGTAAATGGGATTTATGATGCCGGTGTAATTTTGTGGGTAGTTTGAATTTTGATGTAACGTCAGACGTGATTTTACTTGCTCGAGATAGTTAAGATGATTTTCTAGATCTTGGAGACGTTTTGTTGGTATGTAATCTGGGTAGTGGTTAGGAATCTGCAAGAGACATTAAAATTAGAAGTGAAGGGGTCGTTTCATTAATAAAACATTCTCTTACTGATTTTTCTTACTATGTTTTATATACCAATTTCTAGTAGTAGTTACTACTATTTAGAAACTAGCTGTTGCTCGCGGTTCCACCCGCGTTAAATTAAAAATAAAAAATGTTGCCTATGCTACTCAGTGAAAACGTAGCTTTTTAATGGTGAAAGAATTTTCGAAATCGACCCAGTAGTTTTTAAGTTATTAAAATACATACAAAATACAAATCTTTACTCCTTATAATATTAGTATAGATATCCTATATTGTGTGTATACCTTATTAGTTTTGTTGACGTTGCGGGGCAGTGGCGGGGGCTGCGGGGGCTGCGGGGGCTGCGGGGCCGCCTCGTCCCCCGACACGTCATCAGGCGGGCGGCGCCGGTAGCGCTGCACCGACTGTCTTGCTTCCTCGGCTGATTCCGGTAACTTCCAATTACTGCAATTATAATCTTTATAAGGATAAAATAATTCTCTAATGGGAAGGAAAAGATTTGACGGTAGAGGAGATGTATAGGAAGGGGAAATATCCTCTTTATGTGCGTCTACGTCAACTAAGATTAGGCAACGTATCTGCTATTAGATGTCTATAGGCAGCGGTTGCCTCGCCATCTCAACGGTTTCAGGTGACCGCTTGTTCGTTTGTCATCTCAATAATATAAAAAAAAAACAGTTTTCAGTGCCGGCGGTAGCGACCAGGGCGCTCTACCCAAATTTCTGTCTTACATAACCCTTTCCCTGCCTCCGAAGTTGATAAAAATTAGACCTCTGGCTCAGGGCGGTTGTAGTGCTAATGCCGTTACCAAAAGTATTACAATATTTACTTAGTTATTTTTATTTATTTATCCAAAAACACAATATTACAATTCACATGTAATTGTACAAATATATTTCACACATTATTTTTTCACTTTTAATTTTAAATTCAATATTTTGTTCAATTACATATCCTTGGCTCCTTTACTAGGTTGATTCCCTGAATTAAAAAGCCAATGAATAAAGCAAAATTAATGATAAAGCAAATTTGAATTGTGATATTGTATGTTTGTTTGTATAAATAAATAAATAAATAAAAAAATGACTTCTCATACTTCGTTTAACGTTATCACGAAATTCACAAAAACAAAATTCAGTACTTCACCATTGTTTCATAAACATTGTGTTAAAGAGGAACAAAACCAGTTTGGTTATGTTATGTAATAATTAGTTTACATTGTAAATTAGTAGTTAATCTCAATTAGTTCTACACAGAGTTTGTCCGTTCCGGAAATGACGTCACAATGTCCAACAAAGGTTTACGCGTGTCCGTTATTACACCGCGTGCGTGGCAAATAAATCGTACAATATGTCCGGGGTCCGGAGATGTTTGTATTATTAATGTTATTGCAGCAATTTGTACACACCCTACAACATTATTACTAACACAAATGTCTACGGACTGTAGTTTTCATCTAACTTTCAGATAATTCTATTTAGTTAAATTAGTTGAACCATCCTTTACTATAAGAGCGCACGCACACCTTTGATTAAACTGTTGATTAAATTGTTTTGCAGCTAATTCAACTATTTAGTTCAACAAAAGATCGAATCAAAGCGAGACCGAACAGTCTAAGCACACCTTAGTAGTGTTGATTTATACCACCATAAACATAGGCTACAAATTTAGAGTGTAATGCTATAGGCTTCTATCGATTTTTCTCATACCTTCGTTATTTTCACATTCTCTTGGTTTTAATATCTGGATAAGTGTTAGCTTAAAATAGTATACTGACCTCGTGGCCCTCTCAGTGCTCCTGGAGCGAGCGGCGCGCGCCAGCCGGTGCAGCGCGAACAGCGCGCCCTCGCCCCCGCCGCACAGGTACGGACACAGCTCTTGTAGGATCTACACATGTGTTAGAGAAGTAATCACAAACAGGGATTACATACAACTGACTCCAATTTTAAAATAGTTCAGATTTAAAGTAAGACTAGGTATTGTTAGGAATAAAATTAGTACCGCGCTGTAGAATTGGCGCAACTCTAGATTATTGGCATAAACGTCACGTCCCTAGCTGACAGCTGTCAATGTCACTACAAGTATGGATAGATTGGCGCGTAACTTGAGTCTTGACGAGAAGTATTGCTCTGAGTTAAAAGCGACAGTATCAATTAAATAAGTTGTCTAATAGTATGGCAAAGAGAACATTATTTATGAATGTGGATGTACACCGGTATAGGTAGACCTAGAAAAAGGTGGATTGCATGCAAAGTGACATGATTAAAAAGGGATGACGGATGACAGTTATTGGACAAAAACCTGTTTCGCTCTACCGCAGGATAAGGAAGGGGTTCGGCACAGTATGTACTCTTCCACACATCCCTATCAGCAGTCATATAATTCACTCCCTTATGCATGTTCTCTTCCATACAAACCATCCATTCTTTATTCGGTAAAAGTTTTATTATAATCTATTTTATTACATTAAACTCGGTGAATAGTAGTCAGACATGTCTCACCGTGAACCTGCCGCGCTGCAGCAGGCCGGAGACCAGGTCTCCGAGCGTGAGGTGCAGCAGCTCGGGCGCGCTCAGCGCCGCCAGCAGGTTGGCCGGCGACCTGCTGCTCAGCAGACACTCCTCCTCGTACGACCAGCCGCACTCCTCCGCCTCCGACGTCCCTGACTCCTCTGATCAACAAATACAAATACAATGAGTTAAAATTGAACGACAAAATAAATAAATCTGAAAGTAAATAAAGAGCTATCTTTATTAAGAGCGTGCGCACAACTGTTTAGTCCTGCTTTGATTCCTATGACCTTATATGGATGTGCGCACACTACTAGATTTTTCGATGTGCAATTAAACAATTGAATTTGCTACGAAACAACCGACAATCGCACAACTTTTGTGCGATCGTTTAATCAAAGGTGTGCGCCGACGCTAAAGATGCAGCATTTATTGGAAACAATAAAGATGTCCTATGTTAAATGAATATTGCTTCACATTTCCTTTGTGTTATTTAAAATGTTATGAAAATGCAAGTTGTTGCATTTTAAAACACTTCGAGAAAACTCTTGACACATTTTCTTCCAATTATTTTAATACGGAACGCAGAACAATTCACTTTGTTTTAATTTGTTTTGGTGTTTTTTTATTACTATTTACACTCAAAAAATATCATATTTGTAATGTGTGAACTCTTGATGTAAACATTTTCAAGTTAAACTTTATCAATCAAAAAAATACTATTTGAAATTTAAACACTCACCATACAAGGCATCTTTTACACCGTTTATAAAATCCAACGTCTCCAGTAGACTCGGTCTACTCAGAGCTTCCTTGCTCCTCACAGTAGACCCTGCAGACCGCGGCCGTCTTTTCAACTCTTTGATACTTTCCACTGGTTCAGTATACACTAAATTCTTCAGTGTATGATATTTCCGTCTCAAGGTCTTCTTATCCGATTGATCTGTGATAGAAATTTCTGGAAAGCCGTAAGAAGCCGGTCTACTTCTTCGAGATCTCCGTACTTTCGAGAGATTATCAAGAGTAGACATATCCTGTACGGAACTGGAGGGAATGATGTCAGGCTTAGTGCTGCTCCTCCAGAAGTTACCAGATTTCACACTTCGAAGTATTTCTTCGGAGCTCTCGTGACGTCTCATGGTTCTGGATTTTGATCTATAAAGTTGTATGTACAGTACATACAAACTAAATTCATCTCTTCAGATACAATCACTTACACATGTGTAAAGAATTATTTATTGCTTCAAAACTTTTAAACCCAAAAGGTTAATTGTTTTTCATAAGGGGATACTGACAGTACATCTTACTAATGTTATAAATGCGAAAGTTTAGATGGATGGATGGATGTTTGTTAGAGTTTACAGCTAAAACAGCAGAACAGATTTTGCTTAAATTTGGCATATAGTAGAGGATAGTCTGGAAGAACACATTGGCTTTTTTTTATTCCAGACGGAGTCGCGGACAAAAGCTTTTAAGTTATACTTTTTTAACTAAATTGCTAGTGTTAGTCTTACCCTCTATCCCCCAAAAGTGCGGAGTGGAATGCGGCGAGTACACATCTGGTGGTCAACTTGACCTTGGCGTGCGCTTTGTCGCGGCGGTTCAGCGTGAGCGCCCGCGCACTGCTGTGTTCGCGGCGCGAAGGCAGCCGCACGGGACACGACATCGCCACACCCTCGCCAGTAGGGAACACCAGCCGGAACTCTATTACAAAAGCATATACAATAAAAACCTCTTAAAGATGTTGCACTATTGAAGTGGCTTCTGGATCAGTATATTTTAAAATCAAACATATCTATACTAATATTATGATTAAGAAAGATTGGTATTTTTGTATTTTGTATGTATTGGAATAACTCAAAAACAAATGGGCCGATTTTAAAAATCCCTTTACCGTTAGAAAGTTAATTTATCTGTAACATAGGCTACATTTCTTTTACATCACGCGGACTAAGTCACTAGCAACATCTGGTGTTTACTAAATATGTAATTTTTATAAAATAAAGTTCTAAATTACAAGTTGTTAAGTACACTGTAAACGAACGGTATATCTTCACATGAGTATCTTATAAATAAATGAAGCTATGAATGATTGTTGTCCCTACCCCTGCATTCCCTATCTGCAGATATATCGCCCCAATCAAGGGGAAAGCTTTGCTACTACTGAACTTTTTGAAAGTTACATTTCCCTTGAGATGCCGCTACGCAGGGGTGTATTCACGACCTTATTTTATATTTATAACAATGAATACCATAGTTTCGACAAACTACACCATTAAGAATATTGAAAAGTTGTGTTGTTATCGCAAGACACTATGTAACACCTAAATCTGCATTTTATGTTTTTATTGTTAATTACCCGAAACAAACGCGGCTTGCAGACAGACAGACAAAAAAAATGCGATTTTCGTGATTAACAACGCAAATACATCATTTTCCCGAAATCGCTAATTTTTCTTTAGATACAAACAGACACTCCAATTATATTATATGTATAGATAAAAATTGTTTTAATCAGAAAATAGGTCTGTACTCGACCATGAGCGTCTTCTAACATTACACTTACTTGTAATAAAAATAAATATTTATATCGTAATTGTTTAAATAAGTCTACAAGTTGTAGAAAGTATTTTTAAAGTTATTCATCCCGTGAAAGTATATAATCCTAAAGCCAAGTAACCCTTGCAGGACAGGAGAGGATTATGCTACACCCCGTATCGAACTTAGCTTGGGCCGGCGATTCAAGGAGTTATTTTAAATGGATATGCCACCATGCTTACTACTTTGAACGACGCTCAATTGATAAAAGTGCCTTATCCATTCTTCTGTTGTGTTACTTACTAGCTGTTGCTCGCGACTTCGCCCGCGTGAAATTAAAATAATACATAATATAGCCTATGCTAATCACAGATAAATTACCGTTCTAAAGTTGAAGATATTTTTTAAATCAGCCCAGTACTTTTTGGGTGAATCAAATACATACAAAAATACAATTCTTTCCTCTTTTTAATAGTAGTATAGATTACTAATTTACCATATCTTGGTAAGTCGCAAGTTTTATAAACAATAAAAATAAATTATTATCAAATATTTCTTCTAGTTAGTACGCAACAAAAGGCTCTTCCATTAATTATGTATCAGTGCCGCAATCTGACCCGGCATTAACTTTTCACCAGGCACCTTTGACCCTTACTCGAGAGCCCCATCGCCGAGAGCAAGCACTCTCTCGAGTTCAACTCTAACTGGTAGTATTAAAATATAAACGTATTCGCACATAGACCGGAGTTTTGTTGAAATTTTGATCCGACCGGATTCGAATCAGCTATCCGTATTGCATTTCTGTTAATGTGGTTGACGTAAACTAATTACAGTTTTTCATATAAAGCCTTTTTAGTAATATGCAAGTTAAATGCAAAAAATTACAAGATAAGATATTAACAAATGCTTAGTTCTTTGTCACAAAGACTTAAAACACTTGAAGGCGGCGCACAACTTTGTCCAAATTATCGCACAACCGTTGCACGATTGTCGATTGTTTCGTAGCCAATCCAACTGTTTAGTTGCATAACTAAAAATCGAGTAGTGTGCGCACCTCCATATAAGCGGATACCACCCTCATAGGAAGTAAAGCGAAACTAAACAGATTTGCAATAGTTTAGTCAATATTGTGCCCTCTTAATGATCAGATAAATAGAAACATGCTTATAAAAGAATTTATTTGTACCCTGTCAGTCCCTAAGTCTCTAAAGAAAATCCTTGCTCATATAATATTAACAAAAACAATTCATAGGAAAGGGCCCAGTTAAAGAACAACAGCCCAGTTTAGTACAAAGCGTCCTGACTGCGCCCGCAGCAAAGCTGGAGAGCTATGTAGGCCGAGTGCTGCTGCTTGTGCCATTGTGCACACGACTGGTAAAACAAATCGTTTATTTACCTAACAATTCGTTCATAAAAAAACCTACATGAAATGTATGGCTTTTCAACTATAATAGTGATGTTTTGTAACAAATAAAACGCAAGTACAACTTGAACCAAAGTTACGTTTAGGTATTCCAGTATAATGTAAGATGAGATTGTCATCAAATAACTTTTATTCGTTCAAAAATATTACAATTGGCATATAGGAATTTGCACGTAAAACCATGCAACTATTACAAAGCAACTAGCTGCTCTCGTGCGGCTTCATCTTCATAAAATTAAAAAAACCTTATTTTTTTACGTTTGTCAAATACTCAATTGCAAATGTAAAAATTACCGTTACCATATAAACCTTGCTTCCTTAACGTTTGGAGCTTGTTTATGGTCCCTTTCCCACATGTAGGTTTTTCCAATTTATTTACCCCTTACGTTTAATAGCGTGAAAATATGTAGCCTAAAGCGTTTCGTATGTGTAGGGCTATTTATTAAAATAAGAATTGTTAAAAAAAATGCTGTGATATCTGACGTCCTACGCCGCAAAGTAGTGTATGATTACGCTTTGTTATATTAGTATAGAAGTATAGATAAGAAGATATACTAACCTACATGACGGAATCTATCCACAAAGTCGACCATAGCCTTTGCCCAGCTCATAGTCTTAGCAGCATCCAATAATCCCATACAAGGTTCTATCTCCCCGCTCTGAACTCCTAAACAATATTCTTCTAAACCTTGACGTTCCACCTCACACTTTCTAGCATCAAACTCTTCCAAGAACCAGCAATTTTCTATAGAAACATCAAAAAGTGCATCCAGATACGGCTTTAGAACGGGTCCTAAATACTTCTTATCCTCTTTAACTCCTTTGTGAAGCCATAGAAGAACGTGTTTCATGAGATTAATGTCGGATAAATCTTCTTTTCTAAGTTCTGGATCTCTTCTAGCAGCATCTATGAGGCAGGCTGATGACGCGTCGTAGTAATCTCTTAATTTGTTCCATTTCTTCGACCTTATCACATAAAAAGCAGTTGACATCAACCAGATAAGAAATTTTCCTTTAGGTTCCAATTAGGTTTAAAAATAAAGAAACAGAACATTCTTTAAAGAGTATTTTACCTGTAAGCTGATAGTTCCTTGTCAAATTCTCCACCATTTCTATTAAGAATGTTATAGAGGTAGGAATCCCGCGCCTGGTCCAGCAGTATCGCCAGCACATGCACCAACTCCTCAATGGACTCCTGGTGCTGGGAGGTGGCTTGTATCAAATTCTCCTTGAACGTGTTTCCATTTTCCTAAGGGTAGTACAAGAAAATTATTGAATCGTAAATTCTCTTACTTATGTTATAAATGCGGGAGTTTAGATGGATGTTTGTTAGAGTTTGTTAAACTGCTGAACGGGGCTCACCGAAATTTAGCATCGCTGTAGAGGAATCTTGAAGAACACATAGACTTAATTTTGTATTTTTTTTTTAGTTCCACGCGGACTGAGCCGCGGGAAAAACCTAGTTACCTATTTGTAGAAATGATATGTGTGCTATGACGTCATTGGTGTGTCGATAAGAAGTGAGAACGTTTCATACTCCTTACATATGGCATCATGTTCTTGCAGGAGATGAGTTCTCGCGCCACGCGAGTGAGGTAGCGCAGCTGTCGCGGGCTGCAGCTGCTGGCGGCCAGCGAGGACCGCGACTCCTTGTTGACGCTCTCCCAGCGACTGAACAGCGCCGCCTCCAACGACTCTGATGGTGTTCGCTGGATTTCTTCCCCCACTATACAAAAACAATTGGAGAATATATCTATAAATGTATGGTATGAAGAGGAAAGATTTGTATTTTTGTACGTTTTGAAATAACTATAAAACTACTGGGCCGATTTCATTTACCTTTTACCATTAAAAAGCTACATCAGTGAGTAACATAGATTATGTTTTTCATTATTTTTTAATTTCACGCGAACGAAGGCGCGAATAACAGCTAGTTTTTTAAACATTAACAAAAACGATTTTAATTTTTATCAATAGCACTAGTAAGCCCGATGTAATTTAATTAAACTCGAGAATAGAGGATTACCAGCTAGTTTATGAAGATGCAATAGACAACTCCTGATGCAGGTAGCATCAGTCGCCCAGTCGTCATCACGCGCACCGCGTCGCGCCAGCTCGCCGCGCTGCGCAGGGAACAGGAAGCCGGCCTGCCCGCCGCGACAGCACACCTGCAATAACCTGACAACAAATTCCAAAAATAGCATTAAAAAAGCCATAGTCTAAAGCCATGGAAATGTCTGCGTCCATATTACAACTTCTACTTCCCAAAGTAGAGATCTCATGCGCGGTTAACACTTGACCAATACAGTTCAGTAGCGTTCAACAAATGGACTGTCATTCAACTGGCAGTATGTACACTAAATGAAGCCAGTGACGTCATGCAACCTATGACACTGTCGCAATTGTTCAACTGTTCAGGCCAAGTGAACCGAAAATTAATAGTTTACGTTGGTTCTTACGAATCTAGAACGAGGAGCAGATGATGCGAGGCGTGTGCGGCGGCGAGGCTCCTGGCGGCGACGCTGTGCAGCTGCGCCGCGCGGTACAGCCGCCGGCGCAGCGCGCACCACGACATGTAGCGGCTCAGCAGGCGCGTGGAGCCCTACACAACGAACATATTCATATAACAAAGAGCATTTGACGGTGCAGAAGACGGATAGGAAGGGGAAATATCCTCTTTATGTGCGTCTTCTCCTCTGTCAAATAAGAGTAGGCAACGCATCCGCTATTGCAAATGTCATGGGCAGCGCTCGTCACGGTCGCTTTGCCAGCAAGCAAGGTTCGCCTGACGGATCATCTTCAGCAGTAGGTCAACAATTAAATCGTTATCTTGTCGGTTTTTCATAGAATGAATATTGACATTTACTTATGATAAAAGACTTTATTTAAAATAGATGATGAGATTAATTAAGAATTTAGAAAGTCCTAACCTAGTGTCCATTGTGCTGACTAACCTGATAAGATCCTTCGCGCATATTATCAATGAGTGCATTCAGAGCTCCCGCTACTCTGGCGACAGTTGAGAGGTCTGAGCAGTGCGTGTCGAGCGCGGCGTCCAGCGCGGGCTGCCGCAGCTGCCACAGCGCGCCGCGCTCGCCCCCCGCGCACCCCGTACCGCCCCCCACTCCTCCAGGGGGACCCACTGCCGCCGCGTAGTAGCCCTGCAAAATACTATTGTATCTAACACTGTTGCCTGATACTGCAACACATGTAAGAAACACGGCGGGACCCTTTTAGAAGTTGCCCTCCGCAAGTGTTTACATTTCATTTTTTTGTTTGTAACAATTTGCCGTTATAATATTGAACTACAAAGTCTATTATTTATTTACAGACCAATATACAGCCCACGCTTACAAACACAAAGGAAAGAACAACTTTACGGCGTTTCCTTATATTCTAGAAGACCACATCACGTAAATAGATCTCCCCTCTCTATTTTGCGTCGATCAATTTTATAAGAGATTGGAGTCGACAGCATGCAGGGAGTGATGCTAAGATGACGGATGAAACGACTTAGTTGGAGGACAAAAACACGGTGCGCCCTATAAGAAGATGATGAGACGATTTTGTAGTATGAAGTTTGTGGACCTCCTGAGCGGCAGTATAGTGCAGCAGCGCCAGGGGGTGTGTGAGCGGCAGGCGGGCGAGGTGCGGGCTGCAGCCGGCCGCGCGCGCGCTCAGCACCAGCTTGGCCTCGGCCTGCGCCGCGCCCACGCGCACCACCACCCACGCCGCGCCCTCCACTATCGCCAGCCGCTCGCACCTCCGCTGCTGGGATACTGCCGAATTCAAACACTATTGGAGATATTACATCTTACTAATATTATAAATGCGAAAAGATGGATGTTTGTTAGAGTTTGTAATCTGAACTGCTGAACGGGTCCTGATGAAATTTCATATAGACGTAGAGAGTAGTCTGGAAGATTACATAGGCTACTCACTCTTTTTTATTATTATACGCGTACGGAGTCGCGGGAAAAAGCTTCTATTATGTTTAATAGGTATTGTTGACGCAAGTTTAACTTCTCCTTACAGTTTTAGATACTGTTTTCCTTTTGCTCATAGAAATGGAGAAGCTAACTCTAGCCATTATAATAATTTATTTTGATAATTGGAAGTTTAAAACAAACATAATCAAACTTCGTCAACAACTTCAATTTTACATCAGCACAATACTATAATTTAGTTTTGATATTGTATTGTTCTCCCAACACAAACAAAATTAAACAATGTTGCTTGTATTCAATAACTTCATATGAATGAACAATTTATTGAATAGGTTTTTACGTAATAAATTATAGATGATTTAATACGCGTTCTTTAAACTTTTTGATGTCTGTACATAAATAAATACTATATCACCGAACATCACGAACACAATCAGTTTGTAATTCGTCTAAAAATTGAAAAGAGATAGCAATATACACAAATAATTTTAATTTTAACGGTTCACCGATCAGATAAAACAGTATGTGTACACAAGATTGTAAGTGTCAGTTGACCTGAAAACTGAGGGAAATGAGGGTTTGTAGTGGATTTACCAGTTTCCAAATAGCAGTATCGCTGCGGGCGCACGAACGCGGCTGCTCGTGCGCTGAGCACGCGGGACGCCCCGCCCCCCCTGCCGCGCGCGCCCCGCGCCAGCAGCTGCACCCAGCGCTCCACCACCTTGTCTCTGCCAGACACCAATTCAGTATTAACATCTGTATCTATACTTATTTATACTAATATAATAAAGCGTAAACACACTACCACGTGGCGTAAAATGCCAGGAATCACCGTACATTTTAAAATAATTATTTCCCTTGAGATCCCAACCCTTCTGTTTTAATAAAGATCGTTTAGATCTTAGACGTTTTAAATGATAAAAATAAATAATAAATTTTCTCAAGAATGAACTTATCATGATAACAGTGACTAAAAAACCATATGTAACTGTCCCAATAAAATATACCTGCAGAGATATCCCGTGGGTGTCAGGAACTCTGCCCATTTGTCGGCCTCCCTACCCGTGAGCAGAATCTTGCCGTACCCAGCAGGTCCTTCTTGCAGCCGGCAGTGCGCACTCTCACCGTTCAGGGTCGGCAAACCGTCCAGTGTCACCAGATATTCCAAAGAACGAGATCGCATCTAAACAAACCATCAAAACTTCTACATATTCTTCTTCATGCTGCAATAGTTTAGTTGCTTCTAACACAATACAAAACAGCCAAACAGCTCAGTAATAAAAGAAATACCTTTTTGTTTCTATGCAATGCGATCAGATGGCAGCACCTGAAGCGCGGATCCCTTTGCCCGGCGCCATCCACTATGTTTTGCACAATTCCCTCCACAATGCATTCCGTCTCCGTTGTTATACGACCTACATGATAATATACATAGTTAACAGTTTGAAATCTCTAACATTGGTTAAGAGCGTGCGCACACCTGAAACTAAAATATCGAGCAACTGTTTAGTCTCGGTTTGATTGCTGTGATCTCATAAGCGAACATTACTCGCATCTAAGTCATCTCAGCAGGAAAGATTTTTACTGTTGTTTTCGGTGCCCACGATACAGGTATTGCCTAATGTGGTCATAAACATATATTAACCACAAATTGTAATTATCTTTTACTTGGTATAACTGTTCTTTTAATTGTTAATCTCTTGTTTTTCAATAAAATCATTTCTATTTCTATTTCTATCTTTAGTTGTGCAACTAAACGGTTGAATTGGCTGCGAAACAATCGACAATCGCACAACAGTTGTCAAAGTTTAGTCAAAGGTGTGCGTCCGCTTTAAATATTTACTCTAAAAGTGCGTACTAATCGATGTTACATTAAGCTAGTTTCTCGTTATAATACTGATTACATAATTGCTCACCGTTTAACACGTTACACTATGTAACGGCAAATATGCCATATGGGTTGGTTCTTACCTCGATCAAGGTAAGGTAGATTAGGGAGTGATAATTTAGGCAGTGTTTTTAGATAGATTATTTTGTAAGTTTATAAAGTCATTATTAAAATATAAAATTGTATACAATCAGACACGATTAGTATTGTAACATGACACGTAGGTATTTGTGCTTCACCATAATAGCTCATTGTATTAACTCCCTTGCCCCCCTTTGCTTACATTGATAAGTACTCAGTCACGATATTCGTATCATGGTAACTTTGTAATTGTCATTTAAATAATTCTTCGCAATAGCAAAGGATTACTAAGGTCGATCAAATACAAAACCTTTTAAACATAAGTTGACAAATCTGCAGCGTCTAAACATAAGATGAACTAACATTTAGAGCGGGCACACTTTGGCTAAACTATCTCACAAGAGTTGTGAGATTGTCGATTGTTACGTGTTTAAAAATCGAGTAGTTTGTGCACCTCAATGTAAGCTTATAGGAATCAAAGCTAGGCTAAACAGTCGTTCGATAGTTAAGTCAAAAATGTGCGCACTTAACATCTCTCTTATTTCCTTTCTAAAAATAGTGACATGTGCTTTTGTAAATTTGATTTAAGTGTCAGGTGACGTATTTATGATGTAATATTCTGATACCTTTCTGATCCTCCTCATACAAGATGTCAATGTATGAATTGAGAGCGCGAAGTTGGTGTAAAGAGAAGCGCAATCCGGAGGCCGGCAGCCGCAGATCAGTGCCCGGCACTTCGCCCACCAGCCCGGATGCTCCGGAACCCATTACTGATACCAATTACCATGCATTACTGACACCCGACAATCTATACGAGTAGCCAATATCTTTCAAATCCTATTGAAATTTTCAGCAACACCGAGATGTAGGTAGTTTTAGAAAACGCACTGTAATTGCGTGTTTTATTCTGACATCTACAGACGATACATAAGGTCCTTCGAGTCGGATTTAAACTAGCTATGGACGTTTTGAATTGATTAGAAAATATACAATTGCCAGTTACACATTTTCGGTGTTTTAATTTATTACCGAATTATTTCTAGCGAGTACCAAGCACAATTTACTGATAACAGTCAATCTAAATCAAAAATCGATTATTCATGTATCGTACAATGTTCAGTACTTAGTGGTAGCAATTGTTCAGCGTCCGCCGGAAGTGCTTTATCTGACGCCGGTCATGCGCACAGGTGACCGTGAGGGAGCTGGATTACTCTATACTAAATTGTATTATGTTAATATTGTTCATTTATGTGCTTGTATAGTCGAGGACGTTTATTTCCTACCCATGGGTGCGATGTCAATTGACGCTTTCCTTTGCAACAGAAATAAGTATGAAGTTGAACAACATTATTGATTTTTTGTTTTGTTCTTGACATTGGAAATTCACGGCTACTCACAAAGTGCAAAAACTTCGTGACATTGTCTTTTAGTAGATAATGCTGTAAAACATCTTGTCCTTGCTATGCATGAATTGACTTCATCGTGTTCACATTAACGATAAAAGTTACTTAACTTATACTTAACCTAGTTTGAGTATCACTTAGGTGTTGATACTATGAATAGTCCAATGAAGATCCCATGATCTTAACATCATTTTAACAAGGTTGAAAGTCCTTGCCGCCTTGCTATAATGACGTAAGTCTGGGCACCATCGGATTTTGTTCTAAAAATTTTTGTGTATTGCGTTCTTTTAGTGAAACTGGCATGTCACAGGCGAGCGATTATCGACCTTCTATTTGAATGCAAGTTAAAAATGACGCGTCATTTGTCCATTGACGGTAATTGTGGTGATTTACCGATGACCATGGACATCTACAATGTTCACCATTTTTTCGTTAGATGTTGACTTAATGAAATATATTATCTTATTATGATACAAGCATTATTTTTATGACTTAGTACGTAATGTATTATTTTATGACTAAACATTAACACTAAACATTCTCTATTCGTATAACTATATAGATATTTTTGTGTACTTCAATATAAACGGTTTGAAAAAACTTAACTGAATTCAATCTACAATGTAAACCAAGACACAATTGGCTAAATGTAATAATAAAGATTCCGGCACAGACGATGTAAAAAATATAAAAAAAAAGTTTTAAGTCTGTGTCAACAATCTTTATATGCAGTATAATTACCCCGAAAGGTCGGGAGAGCTCACCCTGAGTGATACCATTTACCTCAGTAACCTACTTTCCTATTTTCTACGTACATTGTGCATTAGACGCAAACATGTATACATTAAGACGTTAGTGTTACTTGCAAATTCAAGAAAATACTGCCATTTTTGCATTAACAAGGTAAATAGATACACCAGGAGTGTAATGGTTACGGGCAAAAAACGCTTAGTCTGAATATAATTACGAGTAACTCGAGGGTTCCCTAAGGAGTTAACCCGGGACATTTTATACGTCATCGCTTAAAAGGTGACATAACTTTTAAGTCACTTGCTAGACGCCTTTAAGCATAAAGTATACAAGTATGTTTGACAAAAACCGCATCAGTTAAGCAGGGATCGATGACGCATTCGTATAGGTAATTGTATGTAAAATGCTTATACTATAAAACACGTTCAAAATTAAAAATACTGTTTCCAAAAAAAATCCCAACTTAAATTTTGTTCATTGCTTCGTTTTAAAGATAAAAATCTCTAACTCTGCGAACTCTCCTACATATTGGAGATCTGATGACACATTAAAACATATTCACGTACTTAAATGACAATTTAATTCACATTTTTCAGACGGCGCATTGCCGCGCGAAACTCTTCTCAATTTAAAACTCGTTTTAACTTTTGAATTTCAGCCACGCAATTTTGGTCGAGTTAATTCAAAAAAGGAACGAAGCAATTTAATTCGTTATCTGCATGCGGCCAGCATTGAGTTGTGTGTTTATTTTTTAATTTGCTTTTTTAAAGGATTTTAACTCATCGATGTTAACACTTTTAACGATTAACGCAAAAGAACTTGTTTTATAAATTACAAATATAATGTAAAAATCCTACCTTATAAATAAAACGTGAATCCATAACACATTAAAAATAAATTAAAAACAAACGTAAAACAAAAGTTATCTTTTTACATTTTTAAACGCCAAAATTTTCCGCGCGAAACAAACTTTTTTTGTTTTGTAAAACACTGGCAATGAAGTATACAGCCAGCTCGAGGCGCGGCGGGAAACGAGTGTTTGGTTTGTGTTTGGCTCGCATGGGAGCACGGAAGCGGCTTTTAGCCGAATAGGCTATTGTACACGATGACTATTGTATTCGCTGCTCGTTTTGAATTATTATCGTCTACACATCTTTGCTTAATTTTACCTCAATATTTACGTTCTATACTTTTTTTACCGATGTTCATTTTATATCGATTTAAAAACCGTTATGAAATATCAGAATAATTACTAATGACCTCCATACTCTACTACATAAGAAAAAAAGAAAAGAGAAGAAAACTGGCATTCTTACTAAGATGTATTGACATTGTTATAAATCTCAGGTTTTCATGAGGAGGAAGACGTGTAGCTACCAGACTTAGGCGCCAAAAATGTAAAATACATATGAACACTTCCAGGAAAAATATTAAACTAATACTAGGAGTCCCTTCTCCTCTAGATCTAGCCTAAATCTATGTCTAGCGTCGTATAATCACTAGTCAAAACACATCGGAAAAATGTACACTTCTACCGGATATGCCAAACCATGCGCCTGGATGTCCCTTCTTTGTGGCAGTACTAAACTACGTAACTAGTAACTGAGAAGTTACAGACAGCTAACTTAATAACAATAGATCTTCCAAAATACACTTAAGTAAGCTTTATCGAATAGATCTACGTAATGGCCATTGTTTCAACGGCGAGGATTCGTGTCAGGAATCTTATCAGGGTAACTGCTATCAGGCAAGTTTCGTACCATCGTATCGCCACGCGAACTCAAATTAAAAACCTATTAAGGCCACCCAACTTACAAATTCTTAAATTATCATGTGTGCGCAATTCTTTAACGTGTTTTGTTAAAGCTTTTGTTCCGTTTTTGTAATGTAAGATTGTAGCTGAAATAGATTCTCCGTTCTACATTTGTGTTCTAAAAAGTTATGTTTGTTTAGTTTTTGTATCTCATCTTGTGTAAAATCTGACACATTCCGACCTTCAAGGCTTTAGATAATTCCCTCAAGTTTTTAAGCCTTCATGACATAAAACCCGGATGATATAAAACCAACAACACTAGGACATTATTTATGTATTAAAATAAGAGATAGTTAAACGTTGGTAACATTTCAATGTACATGTTAAACAGAACTAAAGCAGTTGAAGTTAATCAATAGCATATAAATGGACTGATTAAAGTAAAAATGTCATCACTCAGTCTTATCTGTGGACACGAGAATGTGTTCGCGTTTAAGCCATGTAAATAATTTCTTATCACATATGTTGCTTTTAAAAGTGACTAGCGACCCGGCCTGGCTTTACACTGCTCCAGAGTCGATACGAAAATTGACATCATATTATAAACCTCTAAGATTATTATTATTATACATGTAAACCTTCTTCATGAATCACTCCGTCTATAAAAAAAACTGCATTAAAGTTGCGTATTTTTAAAAATCTAAGGCAGACAGACGGACAGACATGGAAGAAATTTCTTTTTATACTATGTTGTGAAGGGGCAAATGAACGACGGAAACACCGAGGTGCTATCTGACGCATATGGACATCCGTAACATCAGAGGAACTGCAGCGTTGCCGTCCTTTGGGAAAGAGATGGCTGCTTGAAGGACAGTAAATCGTACTGGTTAGATTTTCTATTACACGTAGTCCCAACTGCGAGTTCAAAACATACAGAATGTTAAGGGAGATTAGGACATTGGTAACTACGCTGATAGTAAATACATACTTTAATAAGTGACGTGACTATATTCACAAAGGTGTGTACCAAAACATTCGTAACGTAACGCCTTATCAAGCAGCACGTAGTTGTGATTCGAGGTGCTAAGGTGGCAATCAGCCGATCTCGTGCCTGGCGGCAGTTAGTCGGATAAATTAAAACTTAGCCGGCGCCAAGCGAACTACGCCGCAATGAATTAAAACACATACTGATGTGGTAATACTGTTTCCACTGTTGATATACTTGTATGTAAACATGTTGCAAAATATACTTGAGTATGATAAAATATAATTTAACGTGCTTCTACCTACGACTTTTTGCTCTTAAAGCATGTGCACACCTCAAACTAAACCATCGCACAACTGTTTAGTCTCGCTCTGATTCCTATGAGCTTATATGGATGTACAAACTACTCTATTTTTAGTTGTACTAAACAGTTGTATTGGCTGCGAAACAATTGACAATCGCACAATAGTTGTGCGATAGTTTAGTCAACGGTGTGCGCCCGCTCTTATCATACTTTTAGAAGTTAAGTTTTTACTAAGATCTAATAAATTAAAAAGAATTAAACAGCACATATGATTTATACTTGAAACACAATATTTTTTCATAAAAAAAAACAAATACAGACGAATTGAGTATCCTTCTTTTGGGAAGTCGGTCAAAAAACGTGAACTTTTTATTGTTTTCCCAGAGTATCTGAACACTGAAATAAATAAAACATTATGACTCAGAAGGATTTTTTTCTTTGAAATGTAACAATCGAGTTTTGTATATTAAAATTCCAAGGTCTGTAGGATTATTTAAATAAAAACACAAAATGCAAAATAGTACTTTATTCGTATTTACATATTGCTCAAAATTAACACTTAATGTCGATAATATATGCGTTGAATAACGCGACAGCACAACTTACCTACAGACAAATTGATATATTCTTTATATATCTTTTATATTTACAATAAAGTAGTGGAAAAACTTTACAAAGTACACACACGTACAGAAGCATATTAAAAGTAAAACATTAATACATGAAAAAACGCACAAATATTTCATTGATCAATCAAAATAACTTCTAATAGGGAAATTTATTAATAGCGATTTAATCTAAAAATCCTCATCATACAAAGTCTTTCTAAATATTGCTTATTTTTTATGATTTCGTTAATTTCATAAGATATTATTACAAAAAAAACATTCCATCACTAAGACATCTCTGTCTACCCCTTAAACTTATCTCGTGATTCAATTTCATCATTTTTAATCTAGAAGTTTCTGCTAACAATCTATTTTGATTTTATTTCCGACACAACCAAACATTTCTGGCGTAATCAAATAGTCTTCTTGGTCCTTCTGTCCTACTCCCACCTACTCTTCTTTCCACTCTTCCTCACTCTCTCTTTGGAGTCAGTGCTGGCGGCGGGCGCGTTCACTCCGGGCTGGATTGATGTCAGTGTTTGTTCCCAAGAATGGTCAGTAGACGCCGTAAACTGAATATTAATCAAATATTAACAATTACATCTTACTAATATTATAAAAGCGAAAGTTTAGATGGATGGATGTTTGTTACAGTTTGAAGCCTAAACGGCTGAACGGATTTCTATGAAATATAGATATATGAGATGTACAGGATATTCTAGAAGAACACATAGGGTACTTTTGTTTTTTTTATTCCACTCGGACGGAGTCGCGGGCGATAGCTAGTAATTTATAATCGTACATTAAGAACACTAGCTGTTGCTTGCGACTTCATTCGCGTGCAATTAAAATTATATGTTACTCGACTATAACGTAGCTTTTAATAGATGAAATAATGTTTGAAGTCGGTAGTTTTTGAGTTATTTCAATACATACAAAAATACAGTTTTTTTCTCGTGAGCGGTGTGTGTACTCGTGAAGGCGTGAAACAATAACCTATGGGACAGAATTTTTAAATGTGTCTGAACGAAAAAAAGTGTAGTATATGGCTTTTCATTATTATCCCAATGTTGGCGCAATCCTGCTACGTAATGACTTGTGTACGTAAGTGTACATGTGTATGTACCTGGTTGTACTGCGAGCGGAAGGCCTGCTTGAGGGACGCGAGGCGGTCGGTGGCGGGCCCCTGCAGCCGCTCGCCCGCGCCGAGCACGCTGGCGGGCTCCTCCGAGTACGTCGGCAGTCCGGGACGCTCCTTGTAACTGTAATTAACGTATACAATACAAATATTTCGTTTTTGTTTTAAAGATAGTAATTTGTTGTACAGACCCTAGCCCACAGCCTCCAACGTTTAAGTTCTTAGCTTTGCCCTTCTTGAAGCGCGACTTCCGGAACCAGGCAGACTGCATCGCTAGCTGCAGCAGCTCCTCCGGCACCTCCTGCAGACAAACACGATATTGTTAATACTATTTTTAGTACAAATATTTGTGTACGCGTATATACAACTGAGGACGCGTAATTCCTATCCAATTTGACAAAATCTGTACAAATGTGTAATGTAGTGTTTATATGTACGAGCATGTACTTCCTTGCACTGGTACATAAATGCGCATACTTGTTGTGTGTATAAGTGTTTGTGTATACATTATGTAAGTGCGCGCGCGTACGTTAGTGTACATTCGCGGGTGTACGTGCGTGCACTACACGTGCATATATCTATATATACACTTACCTACATATACGTGGAATTGGTAGTAGGTCATAAGTGTAATGTAATTCTAATGTCCATAGGCGTCGTTGATCACCTTTGTTTTCCCGCCGCTCGTTTACCCCCTTCTCACATAAAAAAATTCACGTGTAAGTGTTCATGTGTAATGATAGGTGCGTGTAGGCGTTAGTGTGTAAGTGTAGTGTACCTGCTGCACGGCCTCCAGACTGCGCAGCAGGTGCGCGGCGAACTCCCTGTCGCGGTCGCGGGCGAGCAGCGTGTGCGCATGCCCGCGCACGCCGGCGCGCCCCGTGCGGCCCACGCGGTGCGTGTGCGTGTCGATGTCGCGCGCCACCGTGTAGTTCACCACGGTGCGCACGTGCGGGATGTCCAGACCGCGGGCTACGACAGTTACGTATATAGCCAAGTCTCTAAGGATCATTGTTACTACATAAAATATCCAAAAACCTTAATATAGATGAAATTTATCACAGACTAGTTTAAGCCCGCGACTCAGTCCGCGTAATATTAAAAAAAAGTGAGTAGCCTATGTGTTCTTCCAGACTAACCTCTACATCTATACCAAATTTCATCCAAATCCGTTGCGCCGTTTAGGCTACAAACTCTAACAAACATCTATCCATACATCTAAACTTTCGCATTTATAATGTTAGTATGAAGTATAATGTAGAACACAGTCTGAAACAATGCACAGGCCACTTTCACTAAGTTCCTTTATTTGCGCGCGGACAAAGACACTTACAATATCTAGTTATTTTCATACATTAAAGCCCAAATGTCTGGAGACATGTTAGTACCAAGAATAATTTTGTTTCTGATACCCAGAACTAGTTTTCCGTCAAATCTTTCCCTTCCCATCCTCTACTAATTGGTAGAAAAGGGACAGAGTGTATTTAGCGCAGTAATGTCGGTATATTCGTGTACCTGCAACATCAGTGGCGACGAGAATGGTGGTCTCTTGGCGCTTGAAGGCGGTGATGACCTTGTTGCGGTCCGCCTGGTCCATGTCCCCGTGCAACAGCAGCGCGTCGTACTCCTGCACGCCCAGGTTCGCAGCCGTCTGCTCCGCTTCTAACTGACAGACCACCACAATATTATATATACATATACATAATAGCTGATGCTCGCGATTTCGTCTGTGTGAAATTAAAAAAAATATAGCCTGTTACTCAGTGATAACATAGCTTTTTAACGGTGCAAGAATTTTTGAAACCCGCCCAGCAGTTTTTGAGGCATGTCAATACATTCAAATACAATTTTTTCCTCTATATTTGACCTATTCTATAAAACGTACCTTTTTAGTAACAAATATGATAACACTTCCCGCAGACAGGAACTCTACCAAGTTGTTCAACAACCACGACCACTTCTCCTCCGGTTTGTTGAATATTCTGTAACAAAAACCATACATTACTAAACTAATGTAACATATGTTTCAATAACATAGATGTATCTGCAGTTCTTTTGAATATATTTGTACATCACAATCAGACATAGTATACAGTGTCGTACACTTTGCGAATGTAAAATGTACATTTTATGAGTGTACAGTCGCGTCGTACATTTCATGAGTGTAGTGTCGTACATTTATGAGTGAACAGTGTCGTACATTTTATAAGTGTACAGTCGCGTCGTACATTTAGTGAGTGTACAGTGTTCTACATTTCAGGAGTGTACAGTGTCGTACATTTAGTGAGTGTACAGTGTTCTACATTTCAGGAGTGTACAGTGTCGTACATTTCAGGAGTGTACATTGTTCTACATTTCAGGAGTGTACAGTGTCGTACATTTCAGGAGTGTACAGTGTTCTACATTTCAGGAGTGTAGTGTCGTACATTTTGTGAGTGTGCAGTGTTCTACATTTCAGGAGTGTAGTGTCGTACATTTTGTGAGTGTGCAGCCGCGTCGTACATTTTATGAGAGTACAGTGTACTTTTTGTAAGTGTGCAGTCGCGTCGTACATTTCATGAGTGTACAGTCGCGTGGTAAATTAAGGTAAATGTACAATATACAGTTTATGAGTGTAGTGTAGAAGTGTGTGCATACTTGACGTGCTGTGTGACGAGGTCGGTGGCCTCGCCCGCGGCGCCGTGCTGCACGCGCACGGGGTCGTGCAGCGCGTCGCGCGCCAGGCGCTCCACGCGGCGCGGGAACGTCGCCGAGAACAGCAGCGCCTGCCGCTCCGGCCGCACGTGGCTGCAGATAGACCGCACCTGCGGCTCTACCACACAACAAATACAGAACAACTTAAAAAAATATTAAAGGATAATTAAAAAGCTAACCTAAACCAGGGTTGTTTCTAAAATCGAAGAAAAAGCTATAATAGTATTATAAAAAGGAAAGATTTTTTTTTTTGTATTTTTGTATGTATTGAAATAACTCAAAAACTACTTAACCGATTTCAAAAATTCTTGTATCATCTGAGCAACATAGGCTATATTTTTTTATTTCACGGGGACGAAGTCGCGAGCAACAGCTAGTGTAGAATAAATATAAAAACACTAATGTGTATCATAATTTATTTACTAGAAATAATGGTCAGTATTTTAAAATAAAAAAAATCCTATAGTAATCAGTACAAATGTATTAAATAAAAAAAAGGATTAAACGACCGAATACCCTAACAGCCAGTGCGATAACTTAAAATAAAAAATCCTATTAAATTTAAACAAAATTAACTTCAACCATAGAATAATTTCTAGTTTAAAAAGTATATATATTTATTTACCAAATCCCATATCGAACATTCTGTCAGCTTCATCCAGCACGAGGTAAGTGACTCGCTGCAGATTGGTCGCCTTGCACTTAATGAGATCTATCATACGTCCCGGAGTGCCCACCACTATCTCAGCACCGCCTGAAAAACAATTACATTGTTAATAACATAAAATAAAGAATATTAACAGCATGCGAATCAGTTCCACGGAATTAAAAAAAACTTAGTGTTCTTTCAGTCTATGTTCTACATTGTAATGTGTCTGTCAAAAGATAAAAAAAAAAAGAAAAACGTCATCTGTCACTTTTGACAGCGGCCATACACGTGTTATAAAAAAGAACATTGATCATTGATCATTATTATTTGCTAAGGCTTGAGTTTTCCATTATTATTGTTCCTTGTGACTACTGTTTTCCCCCTTTTGGATGTGGAAGTGTTGCTCCTACATGAGGCAGCGTAGTCGAAGGAGTGTGCCGCCTGAGATCGGAGTACCTGCTGCCCAGAAGTTTAGGAAGCAGTCAAGAACGAAGGCAGCCAATGAACTGAACCCAGCTGATGTGCTTGTCGCTTCCTTGTAAGCGAGGAGCGATCGCCGTTTAAGCTTTTTTTTAATTTACAGCTTAATAAAAGCAAAAATGTTTTAACAAAAACTATTTTTTTTATATATATATAACAGAACAACGCGACAACATCTGTGACAAATTTCATCGAGATCTGTTCACCTGTGCTGGAGATACTTTAGTAACGAACATCCATCCAACTTTCGTATTTATAATATTAGTAAGAAATGAGATAGAACCTCATAGATATAGTGACTGATTAAGTAAATACGTTATTAAAATGTCTTCAATGACAACTCACTCTCCAGAGCTTTCGACTGTTCCCATTTGGACCCCCCGCCGTAGCAGCACACACATCTTATATTGTACACTTTGCCGAAACGCTTAGCTTCCATATAAATCTAAAAAAAAGACAAATAAACTTCGTTAGCGTGGAATTTAAAAAAAATTGTGCATATGCCCGTCCATGTCAGTTACCCTCCAATAAAAGTCCCGTCAAAATCGGACCAACCGTTTTGGAGATTCCCTAGAACAAACGCGACATGCACACAAACAGACAGACAAAAAAATGCGATTTTCGTGCAAATACACCTCAAAATCTAAAATCCAGAATCTCCAATTTTATTATATGTTTAGACAGAGAAGAAAGTGGGGTAGATCTTACTTGCTGTGCAAGTTCCCTCGTTGGTGCTAGAATGAGACCGATGGGTCCATCACCAGGAGCCAGTTCTTTCTGGTCCATTATATGAACTAGCAGAGGCCACAAAAACGCTGCAGTTTTACCAGAACCAGTACGAGCGATACCTGAAAAATTAAAAATATATTTGTTCAATAAACATAAAATATTAAAAAAATACGTACCCCATTTTAAAAAATTTACAATAGCAATTTCCACATTATTTAAATTTTTTTACAAATTTATTTGTATTTTTTTTTATTTAACTATCTTTTAACCATTCTAGTTAAGCTTGAAAAAGCTTGTGCTAAGATATATTTCTCGACGAATAGGGGATTCGAACCCTCGACCGCAAGATCCGCAAGTCCGTACCCGAAGCCATTAGGCTATTAGCGCTTTAATAAGATACATATTTTATGAAGCTGACTGTACCAAATGACCAAATCAATAAGCATACCAATTAGGTCTCTTCCGGAGAGTGCTGCGGGCACACCAGCTGCCTGTATGGGTGTGGGCTGCGTGTACTCAGACTTGCGGATGGCCTTCATCAGCTGCTCATCAAATCCTAGATGTGCAAAACTGCTCACTGGCCGCGGAGGATCAGGGCCTGTTATCTGAAATATAGATTAGTAGAAAACTTACTAATATTTTAAATGCAAGTTTGGACGTATGTTTGTTAGAAAGAATCCCTAAACAGCTGATCACTTGGTGAAAGGCATAGAGTATAGTCTAGAAGATAATAGCTACTTAAACTTTATTTTTTAATTATAAAGTTAATCTGAAAATCTAGTAGTTATTAATTTACCACTAAGGTAGACCCTTAGGGCACATTAATATGACAATAACCGTTAAATGACTCTGAAGGTAAATTAGTCTTAATACACACTAAGTATAAAATTTCTGCTCTGGGAGTGATTAGATCAGCTTGTTTTTTAATCATTTTCAATGTAAGCAAAGGAGTTATTTCCATATTTTCCACAATGTGGCCAGTGTTTATATCTGGTCAAGATAAAATTAACAAACCTTAACACCTAAACTTTTTTTCAAGTCTTCAACTTGTTGATGTGTCAAATTCTCAATTTCCTCGTGCGGCACGTAGAAGTTTTTCTCAAATGGCTCGTAAGTAATTTCCGAATGATCAATAGGTGGCAATGGATCTATGATCTTCTTCTTTGGTGGTGCTATTGGATTTCCATCCTGGTCATATTCAATTTCTTGGTCAGATTCATCACCTGCATTTCCTAGAGGATTTTCTTCCATGTATCTGTATAGAATTGTAAAAAAATTGGTATATCTTAGTGATTTTCTTTTTTTTTATAAAAAATATTAGTAGATTTTTGTTAATTTACTAATATTTCCTAATTATTAATTCGAAAGTTTGGATGGCAGACTGTTACTATATTTTCGAAATAACTACATCAATCTTTTTGAAATTCGACAGAGATGTAGAACATAGTCTGAAGGAACACAGAGTTCTTACTATTTTTTATAATTCCATGTAGACAAAGTTGCGGGAATAAGCCAGTAACTTTTAAATATCAATGCGTCTAAGGTTGAGAAGACACTGTTATTGCAAACTATATTCACGTTTAAATTTATTTGAAAGTTAGCAGCTATAAATATTTTATTTAAAACATACTTATAGTAACTTTCTTCATCGTCCAATTCATCAATGTCCCCTCTTGTCCCTCTGCCGCTGTCCTCTTTACCAGCTATTGCATTTTCTTTACTTGTGACCATGTCCTTTGCTGCTTGCTTCTCTAAGCCAGCCATATAAGCATCTAGTGGATCCTCTTCATCATCATCTGCCTATTACAAGACACTGTTAGCCAACAAAACATATATAGGAGTATAAAAGTGGGCTTGAGTAGTAAAAACAATTGAACTTTTTAACAGTGGTAGTGCCCGCTTTAACATCTTAGCACTGCAGGGCCGGTACGCCCGGTGTAATACCACAACCACACAGAAGACAGGCGTGAAATGGAAGCAATTCCGTGTTTCGTCTGATGAGTGTGGTGCCGGAGGAGTAATTTTCGTCCCTTTCTCTTTACCACCCTTTTCTTTTAAGGAGAGGTTGGGAAGAGGATTTGACGGTGGAGGAGATGCATAGGAAGGGGAAATATTCTCTTTATGTGCGTCTCCTCCTCCGTCGTATAAGGGTAGGCAACGCATCTGCAATTGAGGATGTCTATGGGCAGCGGTCGCTTTGCCATTTTAGCGGTTTCAGGTGGCCGCTTGCTCGTTTGCCATCTTATGTTAGAAAAAAAACTAATAGAAATAAGTTAATACAAACACCTCATATTTTTCTTACATATGTGAATTTAATTTTTGATATTTTCAGATCTTATCAATCACAATTTTAAATTTACCAATGTCTAAAACTTTGGTACCTTAGAGCTAGAAGCAATATCATTGGTGGGACTGCCTGGTGCAGGGATGTACGCCAGAGCTGGTGTTGGAGGCTCGTCATCATCATCAAAATATCTACAACAATATTTGTGAGTTATTCAAATTGTAATAAATCAACTTTAGAATGTTAACTGAGAGACAAGTTCTTGCTTTTAAGTGGTCGCCTATATTTACAAACGACAAGGATTACAATGAAGTATTTGAAAAATAAATATTATTAAATAGAATAATATAAATAAAATATTCTGAGACTTACTCATCTTCAGTTTTTGAACGCTTTTTTCCCAGAGTTCCCCAGTTGCCAGCGACAGCATTCTGAGTTATGGAATTCATAGTTGAATACCCCTGCTTAGAGAGACCTGAACTTGGCGGAGGGACTGCGTGCATCGGTGTCGTAGGAGGTGGAACTGCATGCAAGGATATATTCGAAGGATTCCGTTTTGGCATCGAGAAACCTGCAAACCCGAACCCCTTCCCACCACTACCTCCCGAATTGTAACTCATTATGATTTTTAATTTATTATTTGCGGAACGAAATTCAGATTTGTATTAATTAATAACAACAGGGAGGTTATTTGTTTAAACTTTCGGCGTATGTCACTCAGTTGTTGATAACTAAACAAAAATAGTACAGTAAACTAGAGCAAAAATGTATCCGTTACGTAAATGAATGTTTTGATAATTATTTGCAATATTTAAATCTTCAAAAGCAAATAAGCAAAATAACAACAGCGCCTACAAAATTCTTCTAATTCCTGTGTTGCCATTCGCCATCGCCATAGTATTTGTCAAAGACGGTAGTTTTTCTTAAAAATTACCAATAACAAAACAAGCAATTAACTCCCCGGGGGTGGATCTACAGATTTTTTCTTTATCTACCATAAGAATATAAACATAATAAATTTTGCTAAAGCTTAAGGCAAATCTAAAACTTATTGCTCAATCTTTTACATTTTTACATGGATGTATGACTAGAACAGGATAGAGTTCTTATCGTAACATTGAAGCCGAGCGAGACCTTAATAACTGTACCGTGTTTCCCTCTCTGGCCATGGTGACCATATTGAAGTATGATTTTAGGACAATAATTATTAAAAACATATTCGTGACCTGACGTCGGATTTTTAATCAAAGGTGCCAATGATAAACTTGCTTTATGCGGCACTATACATTTCCCGTTTTTGCTTGCTTTTCACACACGCGTCATAAACCTTATTTTTTATTGCAAATCGCGGAAAGAATTATCGTTTGTGAGTTCTTACTTTTTCTGTGAAAATATTAGAAATATTGAAATCAGTAATCGAGTAAAATTTAATTAATGATTTTCTCAATCATTCTCAGAATTTCTAGGATTGGATAGTCATGCATGGTCACCGTATCTATTTTATCTATTTTATCTTCATTTTAAAAATTATGTTTAAAACTATTACCTATGAAAAGGTAAACTACAATCATGATAATACCCGCTTCCGCAAGCCTCCGCGACATAAGTTTTTGATAGGAATTTGGTTTAGCCAGCACACAAAATGATTAAATAAATAAAGTTTTTTATTTATTCTCATAAAAATTAATATTAGTACAACTGTGTATAAAAACAAGATATTATTTTTATACTATTCTAGACATGTTCTTTTTCTCTACATTCGAACAACTCAAATTAAATTAACTTATGTCATTATTTAAATACAGCCAGTCTTACACTGCAAAACATCAAATAGGTTTCATTTACAACAGTTTTTACCATTATAACAAGGGAATTTTAAAAATGTTACGGATTTCAAAAACGCTGCCAATGAAGGCCGATTCGGCAATGGCATGCGGTGTTGTCAATTCAGGTGTTTAAATTTCAAAGAAATAAAAGAAAACCTGTACGCCAATCGCAAATATGCGTTATTAAAGTTTTACATGTAACAACAAATAGTATTGCTTAAACATGTCAGTATTAAATTATTATTAATATTTGGAAACATTTTGATAGTAAATATTTTTACTACATTACATTACATCAATTGCCTATTTTTCTACAAACAACGAAAGGATTGATATCTGGCAACTCCAGCTCACTGTTAGAAAGGGACATATCGGACACTTATAGCCCTCTCACTCGTTTCAATTTCATTTTGCGGGGTACCAAGACTTTTAAGCCCTTAGCATAGGGTTTTAATTTCTTTAGTTTAACTGAATGATGTACAGAAAGAACACACTCCTGTTGTACGTAGTACTTATTACCTCCATGCATGTTTAACTTTAACATTTGATTGTAAAATCAAATGTCAACTGTCAACTGTGTCAATGTCATATCGAAATCGCAAGTCAACAAAATATTTACGATTTCCTAATTTTAAAACATAAGATCTACTATCCTCAGTTCATAAAAGTTTTAACGATCACTTAAATACTAAATAATCATGTTTTATCAGTTGTGTATTTTCGTATTTGCGTTTTTAGCGATTACTAAAGTAGAAGCATCATCAGGGTATGACTTTGGAGATTTCCTTGCAACGGTCTTGGGTATCGGTATTGCTGTCGTAGGAATCCTCGCTTGCTTGGGCAATTATGCGAGACAGAAAGCTAGAAACGAATTCATTTGAAACAACGTAAGTTTCCATCGACTTACAATTATTTAATCTGACTGCTCTAAACCTGTTTTAACACAGCAAATGAGTTAATACTTGTGAAATGTATTAGTGAAACGATACTAAAGCGTTTTTTAAATTGCGTACGTAATGTCTTCAATTGAACATTTTCTTAACCACCATTAAAATTAGATAAAAGATCCATTAAAACTTGTTATTTTTGTTACAGAACTTGGGGCTTGTTCTACTTCGTTACAACATAACTTTATAGGTCTTCAATATTTTAGATTTGTTATAAAAGAAAATTGACTTAGATCTGTCTTATTACATTTCTCATTGTTTATATTGATACAGGATTATAAGATTGCATAATTTTTAATATTTTCAGTGCTGCTGAGTCACTCTCCATGTTAGTGTCTTAGATACACTGAAAATATTGAAGAGGAGGGAGTACTACATTTTTTTGTTTAAAAGTTTTCTGTATTTTGTGTTGATGTTATTAGTAAGTTGTAAATATATTAATGAAAGAAACCTTACTTTTAGCTCATGTAAACATTTAATCAAATAACCCAATTAAAATATAAGCATTGTATGTATAATATAGCTTTTTATATGCAATAAACTTTATAGTAAAAACTGTTGACTTATTTTTCTTAACTTTTATGAAAAAATGTTCTTAAATACATCAATGAGCTGCAGTTGGTTGAAGTAATGCATTTGTTCTATATGAACATTTTACCATACATCAGAAAACCTCTCATGCAAACAGGGGCTAAGTACCACTTTACCCTTCACTGTAGTAAACACTTTGGCTCCAGGTCCTGTTCATACGCAAAATACGCGCCAGTCATGGTGTTGTGGAAACCATAGCCCCTACTACTACTAGTTAACAGTTTGTTGCGTAAATTGTTACAAACATAACGAGCTATAAGTTGGAAATAAAAGATGTTTGACGATTGTAAATAATTTATAATTGAATAAAACAACACAAATTGCTCTCATGATCCTCAGTTTCAGGCAGTGATAATTAAAATTATTTCATTGTCAACATATCTTATTGCATGTTATTCTATTTTGGTATTTCCCCAATTAACTTAATCACTAGCAATTTCCAATTTCTCTATTTCATTTACTATGTCATTTTTCTTTGACAATTTCTCTTTTTGATCTTTATCTGGATTTTTTAACATTCCCGATTTTATTTTTTCCTCAAGCATTTCAATATCTCTCAATTTCTTCTTTAGATTCTTTAATCTCTTTGCTGGGTCAGAACTCGGTGTTGAGTTATTGGACAAAGATACCGGTGTACTGAATGTTGGTTCTATTATTTCACATTTGGATAGCTTTTCCGTTGCCTCTTCTACTCCTGTAATAGAAAATAAACTTTGAAAGGGTTACTATAAAAAACATATTAATTAAAAAGTTACTAAGCATAATTTAATTAGCCTGGGTATATATTTAAGGAGTTTAGACATCCATTCAAATACAATATAATCTTGCAAGTCTGCAACCTGTGATATCACACTGTGATCATAAAGAGTTTAACCAATACCCACATTAACAGCAAAATATACTAATTAGTGTGTGTTTTATTACTTATTGGATCTTATTTGATTTGAGAAAAATATAACAAATGTCACAAACCTGACTTCTTCTTCTTTTTCTTCTTTTCCACATTTATTATCATACCAGGAATAGGTTGTATTGTACCTCCTTGTCCTTTCTTTTTCTGAGCTTGAGCCACAATTTCTGGCGTCAGCCCTACAGGTAGTCCCGTATTCTGACGAGCCTTGAATTGTTTGCCCTTACTTTCGTATAACGGTACTTCTTCCTGGGGGACATAACCTTCTCTTATCCTACGAGGTTTACGCCAAGTACCGTCAGGACGTTGTGAAGCTGGTATAAACTTACAACCTGCTCAAAATCACATCATATTGTTTCATTATGGTTGAGAAACGAATGCTGTCAAGCGTAAGGCAAAGCGAAAATAAAACATGAAGAATTTTTCGAGTGCATTATTGTGTAAACAATAAACTTTAAGTAAAACATTGTTGTAACAGCTGTACCGTTATAGTATCTTCACTGTTAAATAATCTACATTTAGTTTAACGATTTCAAAACTTTTTAAAGGGATCGTAATAACGAAAAGGAAATCCGAATAATCAAACCTCACCATCAGCATCATGTTCGTATGCTGTAGTAGCCATTCTAGATCCAAGATTGCAAATTTGCAATCGCCAAATCTCATAAATTCGTCATTAAGTTTATGCAGGAATTTTTGTTCCTGCACTTTTTTCGCATGCGACTATTTTGATATTTTGATTTTGACGTTTGAACACAAATTTTTATTTTTACAAACATGTTTTGTTACAGATGAAATAGCAATGTTGCTTTAGAAAATTGGTTGGGCTGAAATAAATTCGTAAGCGCAATTTAATTACGTAATTTAAAAATGCTGTAGTTAATTAAAAAATAGGTACCTTCAAAGTTAATGGATTGTTAAATAGATGATAAAAAAAATAACTACAATTTTTCTAAGTGTTTGCTATTTTTAATCTACTACTACCACCCACATCTGTAATCTGTGGCTAAAAGTTGAAGTTGACAAATTGATAACTTGATATCAATTTTGATTTATCTAAAATTTATAATAACATGTAATTGCATTATAAAGAAGGAACAAACAATTGATTTTGATAATCTTATACACTTTATTTATATAAATAGTACATACAATTTACAACAACCATAATTATGTCAAAACGTATTAGACTACTTGCTATGAAGAACAAATCAAAAACAAGTAATGGTAAAGATAGCGATGAAAATAAAAGTAAGTTTGTTATTACTTGTATATGTTTTATTTGCATATGTGTTTTTTTTAAGTTGAAGACTATGAAATAGACCCATATTGGATTAAATCCCAATCAAAATACTATAGACTAGAAAACGCTTCTTTCTTTTCGTTTAGTTATCTTATTTTTTTAGAAGAGGTATTTACAGCCCGGGGTCGTCTAAAAGGCGCCTTGATGGAGGTTCTCGGTGATGAATCTGATGGTTCAACAGGAAGCCCTGTAAAGCGAAGACGGTACGTATGAATCAAAAATTAAACACATACAAATTAAGTAATTTCTCAATAAAAATTATTAATTTACAGTCGGAGTAGCTATGACCAGCGTAGAGATTATTCATCGGATGATGATGAGAGACATAGAAGAAAACAATCTCCAGCGCGACAATCTTATGTGTTGAAACTGTTTGACAGGAGTGTTGACTTGTCACAGTTCAATGAAGACTCTCCGTTATATCCAATCTGTAGAGCCTGGATTGCTAATCAACCAAAGGCTGATTATAGTGAATTTGGGTAAGTTTTTTCCATGAAAAATATGTATGTTTAATAGTAATCTAGACATATAATAAAATTAGTGTGTCTGTTTGTAATATCAAAAGAAAAATTTCAGATTTCTTTATGATGTACTAATGTTGCTGATAACGAAAATAGCATTTAAAGATTTTTTGTCTGCCTATCTTCAGTACTATTGCATTGCTGGTGTGGAACACCATGGGTCTTGTATGACCTCACCTGCCTCCCTTCCACTACATCCTTCACTTGGCTTCAATCACAACTGTATAATACCAATCATTGTTACTATTGTGCATATTTTTTCCGTTCATGCCTTTTATATTGGTCATTGTCTTCTAAAACTGCCTTTTCTTCGATTATACAGTCGACACACTCAAAATTATTTTACCATTTTTATAGACTTCTATTGGTTTTTTTTTCAGGAAAAGTTTTCCCGAACCAGAGTCATTAGAGGATACCATAGAACTACCAGAACCTGAAGGACCTCCTGTATCAAGAATACCAGATCTAACACCAGAACAGAAACTGTGCAATAAAGATAAAATCAATTTGAACTATGTAAGTATTAATAAAAACATTCTAAAAAAAAACAATCATTTTCATTCTTAGTAAAAAACTATATTTAAAAAATCAACTTGCTTTTGCCACCTGATATAGAAATGGAAATTAGATTGAATGTTGTTTCAGCGTGAAGCTCCACCACCTACTAAAGAGAAACTTTTAGAAGAATATACAAGGCGTTGGAATGGCATCCGGTTAGCATGGCTCGCTCAGGGTGCTAAAGTAGAGGCGCGTTATGCTGAGACACAACATGTACTCAACAAGATCAATGTGAAGTGAGTTACCAATATTAACATTATGATAGTAACTTTTTAGTAGTGTATTTGTTCAAATATCAAGATCTATTAAGCAATTTTTTATATAAACAGTAAATTCCATCCGAATATAACTAATAAAATATTAGTATGATTAATTTGTAACCAAGAATATTTCATTTAATATAATTTATTTGTTTCAGTGCCCTATAATTTGTATTATAGATATTTGACTTCTCATATAAAACAAGCTACAGTACATGGACACAGCGCTTATGTTCAGGGTAATTTTAGATCTTCGACCGTCCAGGGGAAGAAAACGACGTCACAGATCGAATAACTCTCATATAAGCCACTTCTTGCAAAAATTACGTCCAGGATGGTAGTATTAAAACTGGTAATTGGAGAAACAAAAGGCAAAGTACACTTTGATATTTGTTGTCTTTGTTTCTTAAAAGTAGAAGAGAGAGATAATAATATAATTAATGTGTGTGAATTTGACAGTAAATTGATCATTGAGTACTTAAGATTTACAACCCTGATGAAACATTCCTTTCAAATCAACTATCATTTATTAAGAATAAGATTAAAGTGTTTTATTATATTGTCAAAGTGTTGCTAGAAAAATATTTACTACAGTACAGTTAGTTGCAAAGAAATAGGGGCATGTAAAGTGTCATTAAGGTACAAGACTATTTGCTGTAAGTTTTATTATTCAAGTGCGGACAATTTATTTAAAATATTTAAGAAAAATCTTTAATCAAAAAGTAACATTCAATATTGATTAATAATAATCTAATCTTTCTATGTATTTGTAGTTGTTTCTAATGATCATTTTTTACCTTAATTATTGTAATTATTTATGATTTTTTAATTATATTTTGATAGAATACATAATTGAACATGATTATTGTGAATTTTAAAATCATTTCTTGAAATAAACTATTGATATTAACTTATTTGTACTTTTATTTCTTCTTCTTTTTAAAACAATGTAAAAAAACAAAAGAATGAAATACAAATCAATTTATTACAAAATATTAGGCAGTTTTCCGTTTTTTCTTGTTATTCACTTGGCCTTCGGACTGCGGGCATTGAGATTGCTTGTGGCCCTTTTCATTGCATTTGTAACATGACTGAAACAAAATAAAAAACCATTTGTTTAAAAATTAGTTGTTCAGGTCTGGCTTCAAATGTGTGATATTATTAAAACATTTTATTGTTTACATTCCATAAATCTTGCAATAGTAAGAGTCAAAATTGCTGCTATTTGCTGAAAGTTTAAGTAACAATGGCAACATTAGTCTGCTTATAGTTCTTGTATAGCTTATTTATCCAATTCATTCATCCCCATATTTAATACTGTTAATATTTACAGCATATCGTAAGTAGGCGCATTTATTACAAACGAATTCAAAAATACAGTAATTGCTGACATAACCTAGAAGTTTGTGTTTAGGCTTTATTATATAAGGTAAAGATAGTATAGAAGAGACAACAAAAAAACAATAACAGTTGATGGTTTCTTACCTGTGATTCTACCACAGTTCCGCATTCGTGTTTAACATGGCAACACCGTGCGCAAACTTTGCAGTGTTCATATGTTGGTTTGACACAGCGTCTACAGATGTTACAGTGTTTGTATGTTGTACCATCCTTACTAGTACACTCCTTGCATTTATTGCAGTGTGTATTACTAACTGATACCCAGTATTTACATTTATCACAATGCTTATAGTTACTGTCATTAGATAGGTCGATAGTAACAAATGGTAAGTTTGTGAAGAAACGTACCGCCGAGCCAACTTTACGACCTCCTTTTTGGAATTTCTTATGGTTTTGATACTCCACCTGAAAATGTAGACAGTATGTAGTGACTCATAATGTAGTTTTTTACCATTAAGTGGTAACAATGTAGAATAGGTAGGTCAATAATTAATGCATCATAATTATGCATAACTGTGAAGAGAAACAATGTGATGGAATCTACATATATCAGCAAAGAAATCCAAATCATGTGTGAACCACTAATGGGTCAGTGTTGTCAACTATGACCTAGTCACCCCTTAGGGTAGGCACCAAGCCCTCAATTTTGTGAATGGATACATACCTGATAATCATGCATTTTGATTTCCGGTGCAATGTTCCTTATGTAAGGTTCAGAGAAATAAGGGAAAGCCCAGATGACTGGCAATAAACCCTCCCCTTCACAAACCTTCCTGTAGGCTGCAGATAAATCCTTGATAGTCTGAACCAATGGCTCAACTCTGCCACCAAACGGTGGGTCTATCACAATGCAGAGACCTTTATCCCTGAAAAATGTGTATTTTAAACAAATTTGTATCAAAATCCGATTGCTCTTAAAAATGGAGCAACTACTATAAGACATTGAAATTTGTATGATTCCATGTTGCTCATTTACACACCGTAATAAAAGTAGTTATTAGAAATAAAGAAAACAATAAAACAAAAACACTACATACTTGGAATTTTTGAAGAACTTTTTCAAGATTTTCTCATCTTGGTTCCCGTTAAACAAATAGTCATTGAACATGTTGTACCAAAGGAATTTACTGGGTGGATTAAAGAGATGGTGGCGTGTGTCATAATCCAGGAGTAATGAATCAAAGTCAGGATGTGCTTGTGCAGCTTCATGTATAGAGGGTGTGCCTACACACAGTATGTTCCTGAAAGTTAGTATGTAAATATCAATCTGGGTTTAAAAAACATTATTTGCTACTAGTTGATTTACTTTAAAAGCATTTTAAAGATGTTAAGTATTTTAATATATGAAAAATATTTCTTTAACATAACAGTAAACAGTGTTGTAAAAAACTTTAGTTAAACATACCCAATACTGTTATTTTTAAGTATCCCTAGTACTGTACTAACTGCCTTTTTAGAGAATAAATACTGTGCCTCCCTTTGATCATTTTCAAGTGGCGGCAGCCATGTTGTAGGGTTTGCGAGTTGCTCATCAGTCAATGACATGATCACTCTATGATCTTTCAAATGTTTCTTGCTCTGCGCTACAATATAAAGTTCTTTACATGTGTCACAGTAAGCTCTACTTGTCGCATGCTTTAATTTTATCTGTAACGAAAGAGAAATCATTTAAAGATATGTAAAGTTAAGTTAAGTTAGGAGTCTTCGGTTTTAATTCTGTGCTTTTTCTAACCTCATTGAAATTTTTCCACGCTGCAGCTTTATCAAGTTTTGGAATCAAATTGTAGTACTTTTCGTTCAGTTTACGCACGTTTTCCTTTTTCCAATCATCCTCCTCAATGTGCACTGTACAATCCTGTTTCTTACGACATAAAGAACAAGAGAAATATCGGCCTTTCTCCGACGAAAACAACAAAGTCGGTCCATGAAGACATAAGGGATGATTGGTTACATCTTCAGCTATAACCTCTACGGGAGTAGACTTTTTTTGCTTAAAGTCTTTTTCTTGTCCATCGAATCTCCTTTTCTTTGCCATGACACTATACTTAAATTTATTTAAAGTAATAAATCAGAAATAAGAAATGAGCACGTGAACCTGACAAATGTCGAGTGATGACATTGACTGTTGAGTTGAGGGTTACCAACTCCTCGCGAGAATAAAACGAAAATATTTTAAATTGTAAAAATCTAAAATAATTTTACATACTAATAAACACAGTAAATTCTCATATTTATAGTTACAACAATCGAAACATTTCGCATTGATAAAGTGGAAGAAGTTGAGAGAAAAAACCGTAAAGAAATGTAATTACTGGCAACTTTGAAATTTTTACCCGGTGTGAAAAAGAAAACGACATTCGGCAAACTGGTCGATTTAGTTCTTTTTGGCATTATTTGATTTAAAATAAACCTATTTTAGGAAGTAATATAGTAACATCTTAAAAATGAATGGTTTAGTGAAAACAACGCAAAGAGTTATCCAAACTTGTGTTAAAAATGCCAGCATAACCAGCGCCTTGGTGTCCCGGACACAAGCTCCTGTAAAACGTGACTTCACAAGAGGGATATGGCACATGAGCTGTTCCAGTCGTTTGGGAGGGTCTACAGCTAGCAATATATTGCATAACCACTCCAACACTTGCAGTTGCGGTTGTGGTCTAAAGGCGTTACACACAAAAGGTATTTAACGAATTCAAATTTTTAGGTTATGTGATTACACCACGCTTAGTTAATACAAGTACTACAATAAATTAAAAAAGAGCCTTCATGTTTTAATGTTTATTTATATTTACTAGTTTAACACCTTTCCTTTTTAACGCAGACCAAGAAACTCCGCAATCAAAACGTAAAGCCCTCGGTAAGTTCCTGCCCTAACTCCTCGTCCTCTAATTTAATCCTTTCTTTATCCCTTAATTGGTATGTGTGATAAAGTTATTAGCTTAAGTAAATGCAATAACATTCCTGTATACTTTACATTTTGTGTAATTTATTGTAATTACTCATATTTAAGTTACAGGATATAATAATGAATATTTCATCCAGAGACAAGACTTTATTCTTGTTTTTGCATAAGGATATTAAACATTATCATTCTTTGCTAAATTATCTTTGTAATTCAGTATTCGTAGATGTAGGAAAGTGATTTTAAAATAGATTTATTCCAAGAAGATCCTTGAAATTTGAGATTTTTTGCATTTAGTTAAGAGTTTTCTTTAGTTTACATGTTATAAATAATGAATATGTTTAAATATGTCTTATTAGTTGTGTATACTGGTAGTTTATTAAATTACAGTATGCTATTTTAAGCTGGAAAAATTTGTTTATTTTGAATTTAATAATAAATTAATATTTTTAATGTTTCAGGTGAAAGAGAATTAGTTGAGTTCCTGACTGAGGAGATTGTGGCAGAACGTAAAGCACAAAAACTGAAAACTATCCCCACAGAGGTGGAAGGTTTCCAAGTCAAGGGAGATGGTGCTGAGGTGGTCCTTACTAAGCAGCTTAAAGATGAAATGTAAGTAAATCTTACTAATAATATAAATGTGAAAATTTAGATGGACGGATGGATGTATGTTTGTAGCGTAAACAGCTGAACGGATTTTGATAAGATTTGGCATATATGTAGGAGATAATCTGGAAGAACACATAGGCTTTACACTTTTGTTTTGTCCAATTCCACGCGGACGGAGTTGTGGGCGAAAGCTAGTGCTGCTCAAACTGTAGAATTTCATACTATCTTTAAAATGCCCATGTTACAAGTTTTTGCTATGTAGTTACCAAGTTTATCAAAATTGTTCTAAGTTGTTTTGAGATGGTACAGCTTGCCACAACTGGAGCAATGCTGCACTAGAACTTTCCAGACTAACCAGAGTTAAAAATAATTTCAGTGTTAAAATCACATTTAATGTGAACCACACAGTTGACTCGGAGGACTTTGGTGAAGGAGAGGTGCAAACTGAGAAACAGGAATTCACAGAGATGCGATCCAAGCCTCAATTTGAAGTTGATTTAGTGCGAGGAGATACTACTTTAGGATTCACATGCTCTTTCCTACAGGAACCTCCAGCAGCTGGTGATGAATACAGTGAGTATTATTTTTCCTACAAATATTTACAGGGTTGTGAGGCATGAACTGTATTATGGAAGAACAATTCACTTTTATCTAATGCAGTGTTTGTTATTGACAATTTTAGATGATGTCTTCGGTATTGATGAGGTGACACTGTACAAGGGAGAGTGGTCGGAGAAGGTGTATGCTGTAGCTGGAGATGTACTAGATGGGGTTTGTATTTTTATATTTACTTTGTAATATGTATGTATGTTTTATTGTTATGCAACAAAATAATGCTGTAAGAGCTTTTGTTACTCTAATTTAAAAAAATAATAATTAAGTTATTTTACCAAAGTATGATTACAGTATATTCTGCTGAATTTACAATCTCAAGCACTGGTTACTTAGGTTACTTATTTTTACCTGTTGATGCTAGAGCTGCATAGCTCATTGGCAATTTAATGTAGTTTTGTAACCATTAGGTCGCGAGTTCGATTCCCGACCGAATTTCTATGTCACTTTTTCATGCCCCATTTATTACGCCACACTTGAATCTATAGCACATGTAGTTGTCAGGTGCCAAAAATGGGGTAGACAGAATGCATTGATGTGAAGCTGGGCTTTGTTTGTATGAGGCTCATTCATTGACATGGGACATTTTTTTTAAATTCACTTCTAATGTTTGTAAATATTTCAAATATCTTAAAAGCAAATGTTGTAAATTAATAAGGGTTTTCTATAATTAGTTTCCTTTTTGGCATTTAAGAAAATATAAAAATATTTGGAAATATCAGCACAGTTTAGAAAAAGTAGCATTAAAAAACTTGTGTTAATCGATTATAATATTTTTTTATTTAATTTATCTAATTTATCTAAATATTGAATAAAAAATGATAAACACAATAAAAATCACATTTTTACACATAATATATTATTGTTCCAGTACTTATATGACCTGCTGATGAATTTACTAGAAGAGAAGGGAGTTGGCAACGAGTTTGTACAGAAGCTGTCAGATTTCAGCACTGCATATGAGCACTCGGCATACATTGCAATGCTCGAGGGCATCTCGCAGTTCACCATTGGCAAGAAGTAAACATGCTACACCAAAGGAATGCTAAAAACTATGGTAATGCTGACACACTTTAGTGATACGAAACTATTGTCTAATTCAGTTTTGGCAGATTTTTAAATGATTCATAATTTTATGACTTGTTTTAACTTGGATAAAGTAATTTCAATATTTCTTCCATTAAGGGTTTTATGTTTTTATCAGATTTAATTTCATTTATGTCAAAATATGAAATTTGCATTTATGATGTTTATATAGACTTGTACAGGGTTATTTTTATTTGCCTATTTTGTGTTTCTTATCACCAAAGTGTTGGTAATTAAGTTGTATGGAAGAGAGATATTGAGTTCATAGGATGGCTAGCTTTAAATAGTACACATTTGTGTTTGTTGGAAAATGTTTAGTTAGTAATTTTTAATTAGTTCTGAATAAATATTATTATAGTACAAAATATTGTTTGTTTGTTCCTAATCCTTTAAAAAAGTATGATCTGGTTTTTATTGAAGCTTTACATGTATTGGAGAAACATAAAATTACATTTAGGTAATAAAGACATAGTTTTTATTCTTTGACAATAAATGTTTGGCTCAAAACTTAACTCTGGAGTATTTCGGACAATAATTTTAAGAAATCTCTTGGCAATGACCAAAAAAAAAATATGAAACAGCCATGACAGTGAATATAGAATGTAACCAGTAAAAAATTATAACTGATTAGATAAATTAATGAATGACGAGTGCTAGGATGCTAGAATTTTATCAACAGTAAAAGAATATGTAGACAAAACGTGTGATCGTGTGTTGTACATGATTATTAATTTGTACCCCGCAAAATGCTTTAACATGTAATGGTAGGATTTTTGTCATGAATAAACATCGATCTATACTAATGTTAACAAGAGGAAATAATTGTCTGGATTTTATATGTATTCGATTCACGTAAAAACTACTGGGCCGATTTCAAAAATTCTTTGAACATTAGAAAGGTAATCTATCTGTTAATAAGTTATCTATTTGTAAGTTTTTTTTATTATTTTTTTATTACTTGGGGGCGAATTAGCAAAAAATTAAAAATGAATGTTCATTATATTTCATTATATATTTGGTGCGCAACTTGGCCATTCATTTGAACAGACTTTACTTCTCTTCCAAATAAATCAAATTGACCGCCTTAGACCTAGCCAGAGCAAATACTACCGAGGCATATGGTGTGTCCCAGGTACAGGTGTAAAAATGTTTGACAAGGATGTTTATTAAACCATGAATTAAAACATGATGTATATAAGTCAACATCTGCATGAGTGATATTTAATCCCGGAGATAGCGCTTTGCAAATAATGTATTATCAAGATCATGCTCGCTGATATAAAAACGCGAAAAGGTGTATTTTTGCCATTTCGCTCAAAGTTTCGCGCGCCGTCACAGTCAGCTGACGTCTTGCCCGAACACTCATAATCAGCTGTTTATTTAAAGCACCAACATGTTGACATATATTTATCTCTTTCTCGCACATTCAGTTTTATATTTCATCACATGATCCTTATTTCGTGGCAGAAAAAGGCCACTAATTGTTATTACAAACTATTCCAAAGCTAATACAGCCAATAGGAACGAAGAGTCGACCTCGCTAACCAATAGGCTCGCAGGAACCGACCTGAACTTCGTACAAATTTAGCGACCCGTTCTATAGAATCGAACGAAATGAAGCGACTTTTATTTTATCTCGCCAAAATGGCGGACGCGTCGTACGCGGTGCGCGGAATGAAAACACCCGATAATCTTTATAATTTGTGTTTAACAAATTTAGTGAACTATTTGCAGAAATTTAAGTGCGATCGAAATGATTTGCGTTTGCTGCCAGACAGTGTCCTCATGGATATTTATTACAAGGTAAGTTTCATTGCCTTATCTACAAAAACAGTAGTTGACCAGACGAAAATTCACCGTTGAATATTTGTGTAGTATTATCTCTAAATGGTCTGTTATCATGGCTGACGATCGATATCAGCTTGTGATTGTGTGTATGGGTGATACTGGGTGTGATGGTTCATGGTCATGCTCTAATGCAGGTTTGATCGATGCTGAGGATCACTTTCACTGTTTTCAAACGATCTTGGCTGCCATTCCTCATTCGAGAGCACGTTCTTTGTTACGAAACTAGAATCGTATGCATTCAAAAGTGATATTGAGCACGAAAATGTACAATATTTCACCATTTACCATAGACAAAAATGTATTTTCATTCGTTACGCGAAGTGTTGAACTACACGTAGGCATAAGCAGGTACAAAGTAGATATTGATCCAATATGGAGCTCATGTTCATATTAACCTATAGTCTATTGTTCTTTAACAATCAAAATACACCATTTTACAATATTGTTTACAATTTTTTAAGCATTATGATTACCTATCTTTTTAAACTAAAGCGTATTTCACTATAACACGCGGCTCAAATGCATATATGACATGTAAGGGCCTTTATATTTCACATACTTTGTAGTCACAATTCCAGCATTTTCTCCTATCCACCCTAATTAACGACGTGGCCCGTTTTCTGCCAGATGACATTTAAAGCTGGACCTAGCTGTATAACTTACCCGACTATAAATAGAGAGAATCGTTGTTTTAGAATGAAATTTGTATTATGGTTTACGATGGTGTACACAATGTCAGTCACTTGTTGCACAAGTTTTAATTTTGTGAGATTCCATAAAATTATTTGTGCATAAAAAATAATACCCGTAGAACACAATGCCTATGTATAAGAGATTTAAATAAATACTGATTAATATCTTAATTTTTTATAGATAAGCATATTACATCATAATATTATTTTATAATATTCTTTATAATTAACTGAATATTTAACTCGTTATGAATGTGTAAAAACTTGTATTGCATGCATAACATTTTATGTAACGTCTACAGATTTCCTACTTTGGAGAAAAATACCTCATAAAATCGAGGTAGGTTTATCTTTTTAGTAAATAAGCAAGATGTAATTTTTATCGTATTCTTAAATGTCTTTGCGTAGTAATGATGTTTACATATTTAAGAAAGCATTAAGAACTAAATTTTGACAAATAATCTTTCTGTTCGTAATTATTGAAGCATCGTATCTAAATTGTATTTGAGTAAACTTGTCTCCTGTCGTTAGCTGTATAAAATTGTAACTGTCGTTGCGAACTACAGTCCCTTAGAATTTAATAATGTAATTTACTAGCCTACGGGCTATTCCAGATATTGTGTACTTTCATCCAGGTATACGATTTGGAGTTACGTGGGAATAAACATACATCAACATCATTTTTGCATATAAATAATTAGAAACAAGTAAAATAAAATTAGTAAGTCTGCTTAAACATTATTATCTTAAAACTGTAAATAATAATAAATACACTTTCTTTAACAACTTCGCACGAATGGGTCGACTCGCCCGGTGCATTACCACGACCACACAGAAGACAGGTGTGAAGTGGGAGCAATCCCGCGTTTCTTCTGATGGGTGTGGTACCGGAGGCCCCACTTTAGTCCTTTTTCCTTACCACACTTATTCTTATAAGAATAGTGTTGAAAGGGAATGTGGATTTTACTGTGGAGAAGACGCATAGCAAGAGGAAATATCCTCTTTATGTGCGTCTCATCTGTCGTTTATGGGTAGGTAACGTATCCGCTATTGCGAATGTCTATGGGCAGCGGTCGCTTTGCCATTTCATATAACAAAATACCCGGCTAACTCAAAAGGTTTTGTTTGTATGTAAATTCCTTCATGGCAACCCAAGCCACTAATGATTTTGTCAAGTTAAGTGTTATTCTTCCCCTGGGTAGTGAGTTGTTTTTTTAAAGTAACGAATTGCGTTTACATTCGGTTGTAAGAAATTATGTCTCGTGTACTGTTAATTCCCAACAGACGAAGTTGGGTCAAGGTCTACTGCTCTCTGTCCATACGTTTTTTCTAACTCTAACGGCTTTCTCATACGTGAACTAATTGCGTACCCGCTAACTGTATGCTCACATGATGCTTCTCTTGAAACTTATTAATATCAAACTTAGCTTTTGTTTTTCCTAGATAAGTAGCATCGTCCTATCCGTTGAAAAAAAAAGTATTTTCCCTCGCTAACGTAACTAAATTAAAACCCAATTTTACGTATAGCTAATTTTGATCATAATAGAGCCCGCATGTTATGCGATTGTCGATTGTGTCGCATCCAATTCAACTATGTGCGCACCTCCATATATGGTCATAGGAATCAAAGCGAGACTAAACAGTTGTGCCATAGGTTAGTTTCAGGTGTGCGCACGCACTAAGACTCCACAATTGTCTTGTATCGCCCTTGTGAAATTATCGAGTCCGCAGAATGTTTTGTTATTGCAGTCTAAAGTCATCTCTGGTGTCGAGGCGAATCATGTTTTGCAAACAAAAGAAAGTCTCACCAATGTCACGTGATAACGGTGGGGACTACGTCGGGGTCAAAGACGTTTGATTTCTCATGTGATGAATACTCGTTTATTAATACGATAAATTATAACGCAGATTTAAACACCCATTTGAAGTATAGCAAATACGCTACAGTCCAAATAAAAAATGATGTATTTGCTTTTATACCTTTTGTGGAACATACGTGTATAAAATGCTTGTTTTGTTGTCAATTCGGACCCAAAAACAATTAACGTGTGTATAAAAAAAGAGAAAAAATCATACTAAGATTCATGTCTGGCGATACAAACATATTTGAACAAAATCTCAATGAGAAGATTACGGTTGTTCACAAGTCGGTCAATTGACGCTTAGCCATGCCTTCGGACCGCTTAACATGCATCAGACTTCTAACGAAAGTGTGTAAGACAAGCGCATTTTGATGCACCCTGCTTCTTTTCTTTTCTACGCGCTTCTGCGTTAAAGACAACAAGATAAACGTAACTCTATATTGGGAATATCTAATGAATGTGATTGTTCAGTCAAAAAATTTAATTCACTACCCACTTTAGATAGAATATCTGTCTAAATGTTAACTGTATAAGTTTTATTAGTTGCCAAGTATAATCAACATCAGCTGCACAAATGCGTATACAATTACAAAACTTGTATGGGCTTTCAGATTTAAAAATCCGTATGCAAGTATTAGTCAAATTTCGTGGTCGAAAGCATATGATGCATATGCATGCAAGCATATGAAGGGATTCGTGCATGCATATATTTCAAACTAAAGACTTATACAAGTTTCTCAAGCTTGGTAATCGGATCCATATTTATGCTGCTGACTGTACTTAAAGTATAATTTGTTTATTAACCGTGTTTTATTGCGAATCCCTCATATGCAACTTGCGACGACAGAAGAGAGAGGATTATTTCTGAAGGTCTATTGCGTGCCGAAGTTTTAAAACCAAAAGCACAGACTATACTAATAATATATATTAAAACGATTAAGTCGACAGAGAAAGTAATGTTGACTGTGAATCATCGCATGGAACATTCTAGATCCCAATTTTTTTTACTGCCGATACATATTAGCAAGAAGTGTCGTGTATTGAAAAAATATTTTTCTTAGTAAGTATTTTTAAGACATTGATATAATTTTAAAATCATTAGGATTTATCAACTCCTGCCAGAATAGCGAGGTATTCTAATACGTCTGAATGACATTGACAGCTGTCAAAGAGACGGTTGTCTACGCCGATGTTCGTGTTGTCCGATTTTCTTCTTAATATGTACCTCGCCTTTGTACCTTTCAATCATGTAAGTATATAATATGTTTCTGTAGTATGATTTTAAAATATAAATTGTCATAACTTTACGGCGGAGCGCGTTGTAACGGTCTGCGGTCATCCGCTCACCGCCGTCGTACTGTACCGCAAATTAGCCAGGAAATGAGCTGAGCTGGTCGGGGAATTGCACAAATTGATGGCTCCTATGTAAACGATCGCATGTTTGAAACGCATGTTTTACAAAAAGAAAGGTTCAAAGTGGAACATACGATATAAAACAAAAATCTCCGGTTCTCATCTATTTTAACTTAACATTTTTTTTATCCAAAATGAGCATTTATTATGTTTATTTTTAAACAAATTAAGTCGCAAAATTGTGGCTTACGATAGTCTACGTAGGAGCCATTGAAATATTACATGGGCAAAACAGAAAAATTCATTTTATGAAATTTCTCATATACGAGTGTCATATAAAGTGTGTTCTTTGAGCTATTGTTGAGACCTCAACATTCAATGTGTTTGTTTTATTTTGTCTTTCGTGAATATTTCCTGTCTTTATACGTCATCTAGATGGGAACAAGCAGAAATAAAAACTATCACAACTGTTTATGAAAAAATAACAAGCAATTAAAATTGTCTTATGTGCTTAATGTATGCGTAAGCTTCATTTACATAAGTTTTATTTTTGCACTGAATATATGATAAGTAAAGTACATAATCTTATAAAATACATAAGCCCCGATTCCTTGGTCTGAAAGTAATTACATCGTGTTTGTGATAGCGGCAAACACCAAATAATCTACAGGGTGCGATGACGTCACCACCACGCCTCTATCACGCCGCACCGCATTGGGTGTGATGGCGTATAACAGTGTGCGGCTGTTATCACCTTATCAGACATAATACGGATGTATGATACACGCCCCCGACACATGCCATAGACATTATAGGGGGTGTTTTGAATTTTTATTACCGATTATTCAAAGGTGACCAAGCAACCATAAACAAAAAAAAAAGGTGAACACAAGTTAAAAGACTGACTGGAAAGGACTACAATACGATATTATCGAAATATAAAAACTTATGGAAGTTACGGCTTTACGAATTGATACATCGATGTTAAAGGCAGAATATTTAAATTCCTTCTACATATTTCAAGTAGTAGAAAGTATGACCTGCTTGG